AGTCCCCCACACAGATCCTGAAACTCACTCACTCACTCAAGCATAATGGCCTGAGAATTGTTTAAAAGAATTAACTAATACGTCTCTTTCAAGGTTTTCTACTTGAAAATACCAATGCTAAAACGAGTTAGGTTGTGTTGACGGCCCGCCACGGTCCGAAAAGTTTTGATCTAAATATGAGTTGATGGGGTTGGTTGCTGAGAGCATAATCTCCTCCGAGGTCCACACACTTCTAGGCAACTCTTCTCATGAGAGATTATTACTGTATTGGCTATAGCTATGTGATGTGTGGTGAGTCGTAGATCATCCAAAATAATTATGGAATGAACATTTTCTTTAGTGATGATAGTTGAAGGTCTTCCTGACCTTGGAACATGTCCAAGCCCCTGTCTTCCCTCTTGAACTCCACTACCTATCCCTTAACATCAGTAAAGAAAGGAACACCATCCCCTAAACTTGACACCATGTCCGCATGGATGGCTGTTAAGACATTTCCTATTTCCTAATGTATTTCTACTGTGCAGTGTCAACTTTAACCTGTCAAATGGCCGCCATTCTTTGTCAATCGGGCGGTCGGGTAACCTAGCGTTGGCTCGTCACGCCGAAGACCCGGGTTCGATTCCCGACATGGGTACAATGTGTGAAGCCGTGATATTGCTGGAATATTGCTAAAAAGCGGCGTAAAACAATACTCACTTACCCACTCACTCTTTGTCAATCGGCCCAATGTCAGGCAACCATTACTATAAGTAATAACTTAGGTCTAAAGGGTCCCTCCTCATTGCTTCGTGTTTAATCCGCATCCAATGTCTCCTTAATCTGCACACGTTAAATAAGCAGCAGTAAGATTTATGCCTACGTCTTATCTTTGTGCGACTGTGTTAATATGGGTAAATTGAAAAGCAAGAAATATTTAAGAAAACATAAGTTTATCACGATGCATGCGATATGACCAGAAGTAGTGAGAAATTATAGAAATTGTAAATTAAAGGAATATTACAAAGCAACAGTACTAAAAACGTTCCATTATCTTAAACAAGCCAAGTTGAGGTGAGGTGAAATGGGGTTTAACGTAACGGTTGCGTCCACGATTATTGCACTTATGTAGCGACGTGCATGCTTGTACTTGTCCGGACTGATGCTGATTTATAGTGCTAGCTCACTGAGATACCATGCCGCAGTTTAACATGAATACCCCACCCAGACACAGTATGCTGACTCCGAGCCGACCAGTCCTTGTTTTAGCCCCTTAATGCCGAGCGCCAGACAGGGTAACAAAAAGTACCATCTATTAACGTCTTTTTGTATGGCGCGGCCGGGCGTCGAACCTCGAACCTTCCGCTCTCCGGACGGACGCTCTACCACTAGACCACGGAGGCGGTCTAAACAACCAAGAGCGAAATTGATAAGGCCTACGGACATAGTTCAGAACCACTGTCACTTGTGTCTCTTGTTTTGCTGACCATTGTTACGCACAATGATTAAGACGTTAACACCTCTATCTGTATTCACTGCAATCAAATGTCCGTCTTCATGTACACGTCCATGAAGGCTTTTATTCCGACTGCTTGTGCACGAGCAGGATGTGCTGCTCGGAGGAATCGCCCGGAGGTTGAGCTAGAGCTCCGTTCACCTCTTGTATGTCGAAGATGTAGCTCCGCCTACCTCATGTACGTCTGAGCTGTAGCTCCGCTCACCTCATGTACGTCTGAGCTGTAGCTCCGCTCATCTCATTTGCGTCTGAGCTGTAGCTCCGCTCATCTCATGTACGTCTGAGCTGTAGCTCCGCTCATCTCATGTACGTCTGAGCTGTAGCTCCGCTCATCTCATGTACGTCTGAGCTGTAGCTCCGCTCATCTCATGTACGTCTGAGCTGTAGCTCCGCTCATCTCATGTACGTCTGAGCTGTAGCTCCGCTCACTTCATGTACGTCTGGGCGGTAGCTCCGCTCATCTCATGTACGTCTGGGCGGTAGCTCCGCTCACCTCATGTACGTCTGGGCGGTAGCTCCGCTCACCTCATTTGCGTCTGAGCTGTAGCTCCGCTCATCTCATGTACGTCTGGGCGGTAGCTCCGCTCATCTCATGTACGTCTGAGCTGTAGCTCCGCTCACCTCATGTACGTCTGGGCGGTAGCTCCGCTCATCTCATGTACGTCTGAGCTGTAGCTCCGCTCACCTCATGTACGTCTGAGCTGTAGCTCCGCTTATCTCATGTACGTCTGGGCTGTAGCTCCGCTCATCTCATGTACGTCTGGGCGGTAGCTCCGCTCATCTCATGTACGTCTGAGCTGTAGCTCCGCTCACCTCATGTACGTCTGGGCGGTAGCTCCGCTCACCTCATGTACGTCTGAGCTGTAGCTCCGCTCATCTCATGTACGTCTGGGCTGTAGCTCCGCTCACCTCATGTACGTCTGGGCGGTAGCTCCGCTCACCTCATGTATGTCTGAACTGAAAACTCCACTCACCTCATGTGTGTCCGAGCTGGAAACTCCACTCGTCTCATTTGTGTCTGAGCTGGAAACTTCACTCACCTCATATGTGTCTAAACTGAAAACTTCACTCACCTAATGCGTGTCTGAACTGAAAACTCCACTCACCTCATGTGTGTCCGAGCTGGAAACTCCACTCGTCTCATTTGTGTCTGAGCTGGAAACTTCACTCACCTCACTCCTCATATACGTCTTATCTGGAAACTCCACCTCATATATGTCAGAACTGGAAACTTCACTCAAGCATGTTCCAGCTAGTGACATATAGTTGGTGTTTTAATGTTTACACGTTAGTGTCTCAAATAATCCAGACTGGGGTTGCTGATGTTTTTCATTTTCCCAAGAGCTTTTTCCTCGAGACGGAACGTTCTCACTTAGATGCAACCTCGGAATTAAGTGGCATCTATTGTCTATAAATGTCCATTTTCTTACACTCAATGCACAATGCATGATTTATGCATGGTGTGTCTGAAACCAACGCCTTTAAACTGACACATTTGACCGACAGGTTGTCATTTTAATCAGGTGCGTTGATATATAGTGATAACAAGGAGACGTTATTTACAGAATCATTTGGCTATTGTAATATGAAATAAAATTCTTTAGACAGTGCGGGGATCACTTTTAAAGGTGCATTGTTACATTAAGAACAGAAATGAGTATTATTTCATCGAATAAACACATGCACTTTAACATGAGTGTATTTTAGTGAACCAACTACGAGTTGATGACGTGCTCTGTGTAGATAACAGTATGGGTGCTACCGGTATGGCAGAACAGCCTTACTCATACTGGTCCCGTGAATACACCGGGAAAGAATCAGTCTTCAGCAACCCATGCTTGTCGTCAGAGGACGACTAACGGGATTCTTTTTACAGACCGCCGTCATATAGCTAGAATATTGCTAAGTGCGGCGTTAAACAACAAACAAACAAAACAAACAAACACTATGTCTGAACTGGGATACATCCGGGTATATAAGAATGGGAATGACACGTTATCATATCCTTATATGCCGACTTGACTGAGATAATTCCAAGACCCGTGACGATTCGGGTCAGAATAGGTCTTCAGCAACTCATGCTTGCTGTAAAAGGCGACTATGCTTGTCGTAAGAGGCAACTAACGAAATCGGGTGGTCAAGCTCGCTGACTTGGTTGATGCAAATGATCGTATCCCAATTGCGTGGATCGATGCTCATGATATCAATCACTGGATTGTCTGGTCCAGACCCGATTATTTACAGACCGCCGTCATATAGATGGAATATTGCTGAGTGCGGCATTAAACAACAAATAACAATAACAAACATGAACACACTCTTCAGTTATATAGACCGCCTCCGTGGTCTAGTGATAGAGCGTCCGCCCGGAGAGCGGAAGGTCCGGGGTTCTATCACCGGCCGCGCCATACCAAAAGACGTTAAAAGATGGTACTTGTTGTTACCCTGTCTGGCGCTCGGCATTAAGGGGCTAAAACAAGGACTGGTCGGCTCGGAGTCAGTATACTGTGTCTGAGTGGCGTATTCATGTGAAACTGCGGCATGGTATCTCATTGCGCTAGCACTATAAATCGGCATCAGTCCGGTCTAGTACAAACAGCCACACAAACACATACACGTACATGCACGTCACTATATAAGTGCAATAATCTTGGACGCGACGTTACACCCCATTTAACCACACCTCACCTTCAGTTATATAAGGCCATGTTGCCAAGTTCATGAGGTCATGTTCCAAGTTGCTTTGATGCTCTAATATATCTCCAGTAGGTGGATTCTCCCAAAGGTACAGGCGGTCGTGTCCTCAATAGGTCTTGTTTCTACATGCATCAAGTTGCGCGACCTTGCCAAAGGCTTCAAGCAATTCACAAGGTTACCTGTGACATTTATTACAGATCTATCATCAATGTTTGAATGCAATGTAAGCAATTGTCATAGATGTCATATGGAAACTGGGAGACGTTGTTTTAAATAGAACAAATATATAAACTGGAAACAACACAATTTGTATCAGACTGCATCAGAAATTAAAGCGATAAGACCCGTCTCACTAAATGTTTTTGACGTTAACCAATTTTCAAAGAATAATATTTTTTAATTTGAAGTTTACACGATTTACGGCTTTTCCATTGGACGAGAGGTCGGTCCCATGACCGCGGAACTGACGTTCATAAGTGTATGATCGACACAATTTGACGTTCATACGTTTTTCACGAGATGAAATGACGTAAACACTGACGGACTACTTCCACATTCCTGGGGAAACTCCTGGGAATTCCCTAGCCTGAAAACATACATAAGCGTTCTTTCTTCGAAATCATCGTAGAAAGGGCACTTTCGATTGTACCTCAAAGAGTTGTGAAATCAATCTGGGCACATTCAATGCCACAGACGACAAACCAGACCTGTTCGATGGACATACAGGATGTCACCTTTCTGAGAATCCTTTTTATGCCTTGAAGTTGTGACACTGATCTCATTTGCAAGGGACATACAATAAACAACAATATACAACTGACAAGCGATTTAATATATTTAAACAATGACAGAGCAGTGTCTATACATATGTGTGATATGTGCGTGGTATGCACGCTTGGAGGAAATCGGCATTATGCTGTGTAGTCTACTCAGAGAAAAGGATTCCGGGGTCATAGGGAAGGCTCCGAATGTACTCAATCAGCATCCCTGAAAGAAGAGCAAAGCCTAAAATTTTTACAGAATGTACCTTTCACACTGCCATTTATTTTCAGATTTTCAGTTGTCTTTTAATATTTGTTTCTTTGTTAGTGCTAGGGACCGTGGGATGTACATTCAATAACCAACAATTTGTTTGTTTGTTGTATAACACCGCACTCAGCAATATTCCAGCTATATGACGGCGGTATTGAAATAATCGAATCTGGACCAGACAACCCAGTGGTTGACATCATGAGCATCGAGCTACCCAAATGGGATACGATTAACCACATCAATCAATGAACGAGTCTGACCACCCGATCCCGTTAGTCGCCACTTACAACAAGCATTGGTTGCTGAAGACCAATTCTAAACCGTCTCCTCACGGGACAATTGTCTTTTAATATATAAGAAAAATGAAAACAGAGAATCGCTTCATTTTTTTTTTAAATTGTCATTTTCATTTTTTTTTAAAATGAAGAAATCTAGACTTGCCAATGAACTACTTGTGTTTTTTTTATGTTTCAGGACCTGTGTGGGGGACTTATTGATAGTCACGACCGTACAAGCTAAATCCATCATGATCAGTGTCTTCCATATCATTTAACAATTCATTGTGGTGTCATTTTACATGGAGATTGATCTGTATATCATCGTAGATTAATGTTACTGACATAATGATAGGAGTGAATCGTTGCATCCTAAAAGGTATGCTAACATATGTGTTAGTGGTATCGATAGTGAGTGAGTGAGTGAGTGAGTGAGTGAGTGAGTGAGTCAATATCACGAAAGGGCAGACCTGAAATGGGCTTTACACATAGGTCCCATGGGGGAATCGAATCCGGGTCTTCGGCGTGACGAGCGAACTGCCACTCTTGATTTATGTATCTAATGGTAGGTTAGTGGTACGATTAAACGTAGACACGATGGGATGGTTTGCAGTGGCTACCAAAGCAATGCTGATATTTCGTATTTGAAGCTACGGAGTTTGTGAAAACGTCGAGGATACATTTGTTTTTCATATATCAGATTGAAGTAACTGTCCTGGATATAAGAGGCATTTAGGATATAGTAGTAATTGACAGTGAGAGTGGCGATACACCGCCACTTGCCAAAATACAAGGCCACTGTTTACGACTGGTGGTTGTCGAGATTTAAATACAAATGTTCCTACGCGCTAACAAATGTCGACACATTGGAATTTATATGAAGGCCCTGGGCTAAGTGACTTGCTTGATCTTGTTCAGGCTACATAACTTGCAGTCCGCTGCTGTATAGATGGGACATTGATGGGTTTTGCGTTAAACAACGACCACACACCAAAAAAAACACCAAAAAACACACACACACGAAGACAGGTACGTTATGAATACAATTGCCTCGTGAATCATCAAGCCATGTTGCTGGGAGCAATTATTCTCCTGATGACTTCATCATGACTGCATGTTGAACATTTGATCAATGGCGGCGACATTTGTTAGAGCAGACGCAAGCAGATACATATAATCTGATCGAAATATACCCCAGACATGACTTGGTCTTGTCATTCTCGTGATTGATAATGAACATTCCCAGAAGACAATGCCTACGGTAACACGCCTTGCCGGTATCTGTTTTCCAGCGTTTCCGATTGCATTTAAATTGCCTGATCAATCAAAAATATTTGAAATACGCGTGCACCTTTGAGTTCAAAGGGAAATGAAAGTCAAGCGTATCTATAATCCTGTATTTATGTGTCATATTGTGAGTGAAGGATTGGGGAACTCAACGCTCCTTCCTTGCCCAAGAATATAGCTTAGCGTAAATTTATAACTCTCACACTCTAACACAACTTCTTTGATAGGCATTTAGAAGTTGCAGTATAAAGTAAGGATAAGAATTTATGGATGAACAACTTCTTTATTACAATTAAGAGCGACATTTCGTTGTAGGTTCTAACACCGTTATCAAGCGAGTGATATACAGAGTGTGGTTGGCAAGTATATATACAAGTAGGAGGCAATGTTTATACAGTAGAGTAGATACTATTACTGTATAAACATTGCCTCCTACTTGTATATATACTTGCCAACCACACTCTGTATATCACTCGCTTGATAACGGTGTTAGAACCGACACCGAAATGTCGCTCTTAATTGTAATAAAGAAGTTGTTCATCTATAAATTCTTATCCTTACTTACTCTAAGACAAGACGTAGCTAAGTGACCGTTGCGGAACAAGGCACTGTTGTTGAAATGGGTTGAAAAACTGTTGAAATGCAAATACTAGAATACCACAGGAGATCATAAGGATACAAAATAAAATTCAAATCCTGCCAACTGAATCACGTTGTGATGAAATGGCTGGCTTTACCTACTGGATTCAGCTGCGGTCTGACAATGGCAACTCTAATTCTTTGTATGGTTGTAGAAGCCATAAAGGTTGGTTGGTTGGTTTGTTGTTTAACGCCGCACTCAGCAATATTCCAGCTATTTGACGGCGGTCTGTAAATAATCGAGTCTGGACCAGACAATCCAGTGATTTATATCATGAGCATCGATCCATGCAATTGGGATAGATGACATGCATCAACCAAGTCAGCGAGCCTGACCACCCGATCCCGTTAGTCGCCTTTTACAACAAGAATAGTCACCTTTTACGGCAAGCATGGGTTGCTGAAGATCTATTCTACCCCGAAATTGTCACGGGTACAAATACTAAAATACCACAGGGGATCATAAGGATACAAAATAAAATTCAAATCCTGCCAACTGAATCACGTTGTGATGAAATGGCTGGCTATGCCTACTGGATTCAGCTACGATCTGACAATGGCAACTCTCATTCTTGGTATGGCTGTAGAAGCCTTAAAGGACTGATATACATGGATGGTACTCATACCACTAAATGACTTGCATGTACATGTGCTGCAGCCGAATACATCCTTCTCCTGGCCGTAAGGACAATGCTGATTACAATAGCGACGAGGACAGGCAAACGATGCTGCTGGATAAAGACGATGCAAACACATCAATATTGCATAATACTCTACTGCTCACAAGTACCTACCTCTCTTTTGCTGATTTTCCGTGATTGTTTTTGGCGATATATACTTGTAATATGCGGTATTTTTGCTAACATACCACAGTACGTTGCGGTATTCAAGAAGCGGCGAAAGTGGTACGGAACTCCCACGGTACTCTTGCGAAGCTTTTTCAAATTTAAGAGGTAAATAGTTGTGAGCAGTAGTGTATATGCTAATCACTGTTTCCTTGGAACATATAAAGCTAAACTTTACGGACATGTTTGAGCCAAAGCATTTTGTTAAACACGCATAAACGGCTGCCGTATATCGTACAGTAAGCGCCCATGATTAAGTTTGTTACAAAACAATGTGTGTCCATTCTCCTTGGAAATTGTATAATTGTAATTCTTTGGTTGGTTGGTTTGTTGTTTAACGCCGCACTCAGCAATATTCCAGCTATATGACGGCGGTCTGTAAATAATCGAGTCTGGACCAGACAATCCAGTGATTGACATCATGAGCATCGATCCACGCAATTGGGAGCGATGACATGCATCAACCAAGTCAGCGAGCCTGACCACACGATCCCGTTAGTCACCTTTTACGACAAGCATAGTCACCTTTAACGGCAGGCATGGGTTGCTGAAGACCTATTCTACCCCGGAATCTTCACGGGTAAATTGTAATTCTTAATTAAGCAGGTGTTTCGTTATACGTACCTGGTACCATCACCATTGTATAGTGATTCGTAACACATGCTTATGGTGTAGTCAAAATCGTACAATGTGTGAGGACTCACATGTATTATCACAATAGCATAGGGTAGATAGTATATTTTCATGTCAACTTGATGAACAAGAAGCATCGCTAAAGTAACATCACACTTAATTTGGAAGGCTTATTTTGATCAGAATGGCACACGCTGTGGGACAGATACGGCACATGTTTGGAAAGCGTACGGTTGGCAGACAAATTGTACTTACCCAATGTACGTAGGATGGCCGGCACCTTTTAACAATGCTATCGCTATGAATCAACATCAATAATTACGGTTTTTTACTTGAGGTAATGTCCTTAAGAGAACTCTACTCCACAAGACATTCTATACTAAACGCACTGACACGATGCCCTTCAATTCAGGCAACAGTATTGCTCAAACACACTTAATAAACAGTTAATCAACTTTAATAAGAATGTTTCATTGTTAGGAAAATACGATAAGACGTCATCCTTTGTTCATGATGTCACAATTTGATTACACTGCGTCATCTGACAATAGGCTGCCTTTAGTGAAGTATAAATGGCGGATTAACATTTCAAAGGTCTTGCTTCAATTTCTCTTAAAATGTCAATGAGCAGCATATCGAATAACCGACTCAAAACTTGGATTACGGATTATTTGTTCTTCACTTATGAATGATGTAAGTCAATCACCAAGGAGTTAACACCATTCATTGTCTCGGGACGGATAATCTGTAAATCCTCGTAGATCTTGGTTATTCTCTAATTCGCGGGCAGTGTGGCCCAGTCGTCTAAGGCGTCGCGATTCGCTGTGCAGAGTTGAGTCCCTTGGACACGCCAGAAACCTATGATTGTGGGTTCGAATCCCGGTTCGCCCCGATTATGTTTCTAGGTTTATCAGCACCATACCCGTGCTCGTGGGTTTCACCGAAGTGGTAAACGTCTGAGACCTGCATCATTTGGGCCTTTCCTTACGCATTAAGCTGACACGCCGTGATATAACTGGAATAATGTTAAAAGCGGCGTTAAACCCAACTCACTCACTCACTATTCTCTAATTCTCATTCTCATAATTTTCTCTTTTCTGAACTAATGCTGTAGCCAACATACCTGGACGTTGACAGTTACATGCAGGGCATCCTTTTATATCAACGTCGTACCCAAGGGAGCAGTACATTGTACACAGCCTTCTGCATGGACCGTTGTAGTCAACGACGCCGAAGGAGCTGAGATGACTGTCGTAGGCGTTTCCTGCGTAGTTGTCTGCTGGAACCATCTCTCTGTACATGTAGTTGCTATTGATCTGTCTACCAGAAAGACCCCAGATGCTCAATGGGTTCCCAGTACGGTATTGGCTGAGCCCTTGTCGTTTCATTTGGTACTGACGAGCCACGTTAACAATTGGGTTCCAGCTAAGATGGTTGTTTGGTCTGGAATTGTAGTTTAAAGAGTATGGTTGATAGCCACCAATGTTTGGTTGCCATGGCGTCTCGGGTGCCTGCTTCCATAATGGTATTACCGACGCCGATGGGGATGTTTTTGCGATTTGGTTGCCCGCTGGTACAGATGGTATTTTGGGGACTGGTTTAATGGGCTCGTCTTTTAAAGAACCTTCATTTGGTACAGATGGTGCTGAAGGTACAGGTTGTCGTGATGGTCTCCTTTCGAATTGTGACTTGTCTCGTCGAACAGATGCAACAAATGTTTGATTTCTAGGATCAGAAGTGTGTTGCTCAGCCCATCGGTCAGCTTTAGGCACTGGCTGACGATGAGGCTTCTGGTCAGGGAAGGCATAAGATGATGATGTTTCAGTCTTGCCGGAGAACGGCACTGGTTGCCTTGATGGTTTTAGGTTTGTTGGAGGAAGCGTGACTATCCTGGTCTCGCCGCTGGGCGATCCATGGTTGGTGTCATACGATGTCTCTACATGATAACCGGAGTTGTAGGGCACTGGCTGCCTCGACGCCTTCCTCTCAGAATAATGGATTGGCTGGCCATCGACTTGCAGCACTGGAAAAAGCATAAAAATATGTTCAAGACAGAGTGAAATAAAAGAAGCTCTGGTTTGGAGGATACCTGGTGGGAATGTTTAAACACAAACCGTCACACGTTCACAGTCAGTCAACTCAGGATAGATAGATAGATAGATAGATGGATGGATGGATGGATGGATGGATGGATGGATGGATAGATGGATGGATAGATAGATAGATAGATAGATAGATAGATAGATAGATACACATTTCAACATCCTTTTTTTCACATCTACGTCTAAAATTTACACTGAAATTGTGTAATGACACTCTGAATTGTTATAATTTCCTAACAAGCGATTTATCATCTAACATACTTATATATGTCTATATCCACGTGACTGTAAAATACCTAATTCACATCAACAGATAATAAATTGTGAAACAACACGTGCATTAGGATCAAGGAACACTTTGCAGAAATCAAACACTCACGAGACTTATCAGTTGCTACACATTACAATCTGTATGCCCATTCCAACATAAATTTGAAAATTATCCCATTAAATATCCTAAAACTTGATACTTCCTCGACCACAAGTCGAACGCTGTTGGGTACACCCAAAAAACCACGGTACCTGACGGGAACAACGTTTTGGTGTCACCTCCATCTGTGAAATTGTTAACACTGATCAGACGAATGACTAAATATTATGCTATTAATTTCAAAAACAACATTTACACCACGTTATATGACGCACAGCTACCTTTTTCCGTTAGAATACTAGTATTTGCATTAACGACGCATTACGCACCCTGTACGCAATGTATAGATGCATCCTCACATTGTTCTTGCATCCCTAGTATATAAGGAACTCTTTATGATCATCTCTCTAGATAGATCTATACATTTTTATAACCTTTACATTACTGATACATCGGGAACCTCTTATATCATATAAAATCTGGGGAAGAATAGGTCTTCAGCAGCCCATGCTTGCCGTAAAAGGCGACTATGCTTGTCGTAAAAGGCGACTAACGGGATCGGTTGGTCAGGCTCGCTGTCTTGGGTGATGCATGTCATCCTATCCCAACTGCGTGGATCGATGCTCATGATGTCAATCACTGGATTGTCTGGTCCAGAATCGATTATTTACAGACCGCCGTCATATAGCTGGAATATTGCTGGGTGCGGCGTTAAACAACAAACAAACAATACCTTGACCAGTTCCGCCCAGTGAACTGTGTGTTAGAACAGGCTGCGATGACACCAATATCACCGAGTCTGACCACCCGATCCATTAAGTCTCCTCGACAACCACAGTTTGCACCTATACAGGTAGGCGGCGGGGGGTTGCCAATTCTAACCAAGGATCCTAATGGTTTCAAGTGCAACGAAAATTTATAATTAAACATTTTTTCGGGTTCACGATGCTTTTAGCCAAATTTGACATTACTAAGGTGGGGAACCACAAAATGGGTTTCTCACATTATATTCCGGCATGACTATGAACACCTTCATCACAATCTGAAGCTTTAGACTGTTGTTCAATGCTGTATAGTTTCAAATTTCATCTCTGCAGTTGAATTTAGCCGACATTTATTAACCAAAGGGCGACAGGGCAGTGAGTATCGACCTTTATATTGGATATATATGTATATACGTTTGGCATACAGTGGCTATTCGAAGAGCCTGTTTCTATTTTCTCCACGACTGTGCCCGTCATTAATCAGTTTTACAGCAACCTGTTTGACATAAAACATCAATTAATGCTTGTTTGTCGTAGCCCAGATCTATATCCACGCGGCGCGTTCCTGAGCCCAGACATCTTGGCTGTATTAGGAATGTTGTCATTTCCCGCAACATATAGCTGTCTATATCTACAAACGATCAATCTCGTGTAGTGTAAGGTACTATCAGCATTGACGTCTCTGAAGCGCCGTCTCTGCCCAGAGAGCGGAAGGTGGGTGATTCGATCACCGAGAAGTCGGTAGATGGGCCAAACACACCAGTGATTGGTATTTTGACCAACGTAACACGCCGTCGGGGTGCCCATACACGCAGTCCACAGGAACCTGCGTTGTAAAAGTCTATACCGAACAAAACAAGTTAGGGATCATGAATAATTTTGGGGATAATTTCATGAAATAGTGAACTCGCAAATATTCATGATCCCTAACGTTTTCTTGTCCTGCATAGATCTTTTAAAATTATACGAGTGTCATTAATGCAATGTTTTACATATCTTTAATCAAGGTCAGACAATGAATCAATTTGGCCAATTACTGAACGGGTTTGACGTGGAGCATGTCTCGAGTGAACATTATCTTGTATCCGCATATTGCACTCCTAGACCTTATAAAATGAGTCTTTAAATGACTATAAAAAGTTCTGGCCATGGGTCTATGAATACATTGTGTCTTGTCCTGTATAGCACCTTGTATCGCTATTTCTAAAATGAAATCGCAAATCATACATAGAAACATTACATCTAACTTGTCTAGGATGATGGTCCTATCGATTTGACGCAGTGAACTAGTTCACCAAAGGAACACGGCTCCACACATCAACCTGAGGACTCGGACATCTATGCCCCCTAATATCCCAAGGCAATGTTGTAACACTGGTAGCCAAAGACTGGCTTTAGCCATAGACTTAGCCTTACAGATTACAATGTCGCCACATTAGTAGTACATGTATTGATAAAATGTGTTTATTAAACAATGACAAGTAGAGCACGACCAGTCTGTCATTGCTTGTCACGATTGCTGTTGTGATCTGATTGAGGATGTACTTAACACTCCTTCCCATGGAGACGGCCTGGCTAATTATGATATAAACAATCTCTGCATGATCTGCATGACACCACTGTCTGATTATCTCCATTCTACCATGACAAAATTGGACGCAAAGATACAATATTGAGTGAAGCAACATGGGTGTTCTGAGTGAGTGAGTGAGTGAGTGAGTGAGTGAGTGAGTGAGTGAGTGTGGTTTTACTCCGCTTTTTAAAATATTCCAGCAATATCACGACGGGGAGTCCAGTGTTCTGAGTGGGTTGTTTAACTACGTAAATATAAAACTTCAACTCCAGTGAATAATCAGTCTAAAATACTACCGAAACAGATTTCATTAGGCTGTAAAAGTCAAAATAGCAGTGTAAAGTATATGAATGGATCATTGATGAGTTGATCGATTGATTGTTTGTTGTTTAACGCCGCACTCAGCAATATTCCAGCGAAATGACGGCGGTCTGTAAAAAATCGAGTCTGGACCAGACAATCCCGCAACATAGGCATCGATCCACGCAATTGGGACAGGATGACATGCTTCAACCAAGTCAGCGAGCCTGACCACCCGATCCCGTTTGTCGCCTCAAGCATAGTCTTTTACAGCAAGCATGGGTTGCTGAAGACCTAATCTACCCCGGATCTTCACAAGGATTGAGAAAAATCACTTCTCTTCATAGTAGCTCGTGTGGTGGTGCAGTCGTCAAGCTAACGGGCCAATCAGAGGTGGTTATTGTGACTTAAGAGACAATTGCTTCGTGTATTATTTATGGTAGAATAATTATTAATCATTCATTCAATATGTGAACGTAAGAACCCAACCCTTTTATTTACCTTGTCACAACAGGTCACAACAACATAACTTTGTTTTGATTGAGCGATTTAAGGGAGTGGGAAGATTGTGACACATCATCCTTTAACGCGCAATACCCTAGTCTGAAGATTGGAGATATTTTCTTGAGTCGTATCATGTTTTATCCCATTGTATTTCTGTATTGGATCCTATAAGAATGTACCACTATCAGAATGAACCACTACGGGACACAAGGCATTGTAAAGCATTGAAAAGATGTGCGGATTAGCAAGGTTTACAATGAAGGGTCACAAGGATGTAAAACATGCCTTTGGCTACAAGGTGTGGTAAAGGATTGCTCCACATGGTACCTACTTGACTATACCCAATGAACTTGATATATAATACAACCCTCTTATTTATACACCACAAACTTGATATATAATGCAACCTTCTTGTTATACACCACGAACACTTGATATAGAATGCAGCTTTTTGTTCCCACATAAAAAAACTTGATAAATAATGGAACCTTCTTATTCATACCCCCGAACTTGATATATAATGTAACCTCCTTGTTATACACCACAAACTTGATATATAATGCAACCTTCTTGTTATACATCACAAACTTGATATATAATGCAACCTTCTTGTTATACACCACAAACTTGATATATAATGTAACCTTCTTGTTATACACCACAAACTTGATATATACTGTAACCTCCTTGTTATACACCACAAACTTGATATATAATGCAACCTTCTTGTTTTACACCACAAACTTGATATATAATGCAACATTCTTGTTATACATCACAAACTTGATATATAATGCAACCTTCTTGTTTTACACCACAAACTTGATATATAAATCAACCTTCTTGTTATACATCACAAACTTGATATATAATGTAACCTCCTTGTTATACACCACAAACTTGATATATAATGCAACCTTCTTGTCATACATCACAAACTTGATATATAATGTAACCTCCTTGTTATACACCACAAACTTGATATATACTGTAACCTCCTTGTTATACACCACAAACTTGATATATAATGCAACCTTCTTGTTTTACACCACAAACTTGATATATAATGCAACCTTCTTGTTATACATCACAAACTTGATATATAATGCAACCTTCTTGTTATACACCACAAACTTCATATATAATGTAACCTTCTTGTTATACACCACAAACTTGATATATAATGCAACCTTCTTGTTATACACCATCGCCCCATTTTTATTTGACTTCGACCGAACAAGTTCAATATAAAACTTACGAACGCACTACATGAATGGTAGGGTTGTACATTGTTCCTTCCTCCATATACATAAAAATAGCTCGAATTCATATGTAGTGTTCGTTCCCTATTTTCAATACCCTATTGTGACTTGTACCTGGTATCATCACTATTTGATAGTGATTCATGGACGCATGCTTATTATAAGGACGGAACTGTAAATCGACGCATCTTTTGGCAGAGCCTTCCTATGAATATGGAGAGGGTTGTGTCACTTTTAATGTTTACTCAATATTGTTACCATGCGATGTAATACCGAATAAGGAATGTACATCATGGTTTTTTTTCAAAACTCTGACCATTGATCCATGCAAATCCAATTATGAATGAATGGGCACCCACCGATGGCACGCGGACTGTATTTCAATGTAATGAGCATCTTTTTCAATCAATTATTTTATTCAATATGATATCGAAAAAGGAATGTACAGTATACTTTCAAACACTTACCGATGGTCCATGCAAATCCAATTATGAATGCGATCCTATAGGCACCCATCGATGGTACATCGACGCCTCCACGGGCTTAACACGACTGTTCGAGATAGAATACAACACTGATGTTAGTCGTTGAGCTTGCCCGTAGGCCTTGTCAATCAAAACAAGAATAGTTGTCATGTGTCCATTGTCAGTTATCTTTGGAATGAGAGTTTTTATGTCTGGGGCTCGCTTCCTGAGCAACTGGTGATATATATGGTAGTTGATGTATATAGTTAATGAATTGTCATTATAAATCAAGATACTTGCTCAGATTTGTTATTTCTAAGGATACGCACAAGTAACTGGACATTTGTACAAATGATGTACGATCCTGCTTGCGTTATCTTACTTAAAATACAGCATAAAAGGAATACAATCCAAGATAATCAGATTTTTTGTATACACATAAAAAGCCAATAAACTAAAAATAATACACAATAATACTGTACGGATACTTTATGAAGAACATTCGTAACATGTGAGAATCTATAAATTCGTTCTTCGATATCCGACATGCTGGTTGGTTTGTTGTTTAACGCCGCACTCAGCAATATTCCAGCTATATGACGGCGGTCTGTACATAATCGACTCAGACAATCCAGTGATTAATATCATGAGCATCGATCCACGCAAGCCGTTAGTCGCCTTTTACGACAAGATTAGTCGCCTTTTACGGCAAGCATGGGTTGCTGAAGATCTATTCTACCCCGGATCTTCACGGGTCCGATATCCGATATGTATGCTGCATTTGAAGTAGCCCTTATATTCGCACTGCACATGCATTTTGTGTAATTTGACAGTTGCGACCAATATACTCGTAATTCGCGTGCATAGAATTAATGAATGGGCATTGCATTGCATTCTGAGTCTCACATGGAACGACGTGACTAAACGAAATTCAAATGATATATTTTTTTACATAATCCCCTTCCGCGTTAAAGCACTTTGCCCAACGATTTGGAAGGAAGTTTAGTCTATTTTGTAGAAGTCGCACTCGTGGCCGTCCAAAAAATTCTCTTCACAGCTACTATGTTTGTTTGTTATTTTCCGCCGCACTCAGCGATATTCCAGCTTTATGACAGTGGTCTGTAAACAAATCGAGTCTCGACCAGTCAATCCAGTGCGTCACATCATGGTTGGTTGGTTGGTTTGTTGTTTAACGCCGCACTCAGCAATATTCCAGCTATATGACGGCGGTCTGTAAATAATCGAGTCTGGACCAGACAATTCAGTGATTAATATCATGAGCATCGATCCACGCATTGTTTGCTGAAGACCTTTTCTACCCCGGAATCCCTTCACATCATGAGCCTCGATCCACGCAATTGGTTGGTTGGTTTGTTGTTTTCCGCCGCACTCAGCAATATGCCCATGATACCAATCACTGGATGGTCTGGTCCAGCCTCAATTATTTACCTACCGCCGTTATATAGCTGGAGTATTGCTGAGTGCTGCGTTAAACAACCAACCAACCAATTGCGTGAATTGATGTTCATGATGTCAATCACTGGATTGTCTGGTCCACACTCGATTTTTTTACAGACCGCCCTCATAACAAACAAACTTTACCTTTCCATTTGATGGGACATTCTTTGGCTTCTTTTGGGATGATGCTTGTGCTTGGTTTGTTGTTGGGACTCGGGTTTCATCCATCGTCAGAAATCGTTGCAAGAACCTTTAGATTATCATGGGACATTTCGTGCCTTGTGCCGTTTTTTGAGGCTTTGGAACCCAACTTTCGATGCGAAAGTTTCTGTCATATTTGATCATACTGGAATCGACCCGTGAAGATCCGGGGTAGAATAGGTCTTCAGCAATCCATGTTTGTCATAAAAGGCGACTAAGCTTGTCGTAAGAGGCGACTAACAGGATTGGGTGGTCAGGCTTGCTGACGTGGTTGATACATGTCATCGTATCCCAATTACGTCTTGTCCAGACTCGATTATTTATAGACCGCCGTCATATAGCTGGAATATTGCTGAGTGCGGCGTTAAACAACAAACCAAGCAACCAGTTGCGTTGATTGCTGCTCATGGTGTCAATCACTGGTTTGTCTTATCCACACTCGCCTTTTTTTTACAGACCGCCCAGCTATATTCCAGCTGTATGACGGCGGTCTATAAATAATCGAGTCTGGACAAGACAATCCAGTGATTAATATCATGACCACGTAATTGGGATACGATGACATGTATCAACCAAGTCAGCAACCACTCAGCTGGAATATTGCTGCGTGCGGCGTCAAACAACAAAGAAAACAAAACAAACAAAGAAACAACGCTCTGCTTGCCACGCCTACACTCTGATGCCCTCCTCTTAACAGTGGCATAGGAAGAGACACCCTTCGCTAATGCTGTACACATATCTTCATGGGTAGCTTTTGGTGTTAGGCCCTTTTTCTGCGTATTTTACTGACTTGTCCCAGTGAAACAATTTGCTCAATTGACTGTTTTGGAGATATACCTTTGACATCATTTAAGAAAATATTTCATTATGACGCAATTCCTTCTGTGCGATACTCATTGTACTCATTTTTGGCCACGAACCTGAACCACTACACTACCCCCTACCCCACGTGTCGTAACAGAACACAACGCTCAACAGTCCTACGACTGTCCTGGCAGTCCAGGAATCATAGTCCTAGTCGCTCAAAATCTTGATATTAGTTGTTAGAATCAATGGTCCTACGAAAATCAGTACTCGAATTGCAAAAGTATGCATAAATATTTTACGGCCGCATCACTTCTAACGCAATGCTTGGTCATCTCGGGTGATGCAACATTCTCTTCAAAGTTGCGTCCCTTAGGCGTACAAGGATTCTGTAATCGTTTGTTCGAATTCCTGATTATGATTATTAGTTCGGCAGCATCGTGCACTGGATTTATTTCGTAAAAAAATAAATGTTCCCGAAAATCCTTTTGTGATTTTTTTAATGTTTGATTTCTTTCATAGAAATATATGGAGTGTGGTGGTGCAGTGACTGAAAAATATCCTGTCTGTAACCAAAATTACATACCCCCACCCCGCAATATCTATATAACTATTACTCCTGAATTACAGTTTATAAATCGTTTTAGCTGTGAAGAATCCGAATCTTCATTGTGCCCCTAGAGTGAGTGAGTGAGTGAGTATGGTTTTACGCCGCTTTTAGCAATATTCCAGCAATATCACGGCGGGGGACACCAGAAATGGGCTTCACACATTGTACCCATGTCGGGAATCGAACCCGGGTCTTCGGCGTGACGAGCGAACGCTTTAACCACTAGGCTACCCGACCGCCCCTTGTGCCCCTAGACCCGTGAAGATCCGGGTTAGAATAGGTCTTCAGCAACCCATGCTTGCTGTGAAAGGCCACTATGCTTGACGTAAAAGGCGACCAACGCGATCGGGTGGTCAGGCTCGCTGACTTGGTTGATGCATGTCATCGATCCCAATTGCGTAGATTGATGCACATGATGTCAATCAGTGGATTGTCTGGTCCAGACTCGATTATTTACAGACCGTCAAAAAGTTGGAATATTAATGAAATAAACAAAATATCTTACGAAACGTTTCCTAAGAATACTTTAAAAAGTTGATATTCTTTTCAAATGGGCTTCAACCATTGCACCAATGTTGGGAATGGAACACGGATATCCGCGCGCGGAGGAAGCACACGAATGGTTTCAGTAGAGGGAACGATAACAGTTCTTTCAAATTTCAATTACATAAAAAGCAAACTCGATATACTTTTGGTACCCTTCAGTTTATTTATACAAGGTAGAGATGATAAATCACTGAGAGGGGCTTATGAACAGTCGATCACCCAAGCAACCCTGCAGCTAGGCTGACGTCACATGACATTGTTTCGCCGGTTGATCTTGAAACAAAATTCCACGTCATTGGGCATTGTGACGTGATTGCAAACTGTTTGATGCAGGGTGTCGTTCCACAAGGCGGTAGCGCAACGACAGTCGTCAGTCTATGTTACAGTATGGGAGTTGCGATAACCTTAGCGCTACGACAGTCGTAAGTCTATGTTAAAGTATGGGAGGTGCGATAACCTTAGCGCTGCGGTGGCTTGTGGAACCGACCCCTGAATTCTGAAGGTAGGCCGTTGTAGAGTATTAATTAATACGCGTCAACTTTTGACGTGTTTGAAGTTTGATTCCGTTAAACGCAACTGGGTCATACTGTTGATCGCGTAGATGCCGGCCTATTCATAAACGAAAGGGATATATTTGGAAAAAGTTATAAACGGCAAGTAATGAATAAAATACTGAACTCGCTCCCATGTAATAATACCAATTTCATGAAACTCGGGAATGGTATCGCACGGGAGCGAGTTTAGTATTCTCTATATACTGCTTCCGTACCATTGACAGGCGAAGATGGTTTGATTGTTTTCGTTCTAACGCCACACTCAGCAATATTCCAGCTATGTTATGGCAGCCTTTGATTAATGGAGGAATACAGTGTTTAGTAGTGTGAGCTTCGACCGACTTTGTTAAAAGTGGGAATTTAGTCCAAGAGAAAAAACATTTTAGTGCGTAACAGTTCGTAAAAGGTAAAAACAATGTTAGTACCGGGAGGGTCATGCAAAGAAAGCAATGTATTTTAACAAGCCTATGAAGCACGTTGGGATTATGTTCTGTAGGGTCTGAAATATGTCACTGTGACCAGGAATGTACTTTTCCAGGCGTTTGGGATGCATACAAAAGGCCTCAGGATTAGGTTAAATGTCGACCCCGCCCACGTGTGTGTTGCGACAGTTATCCCTGCAGCTGACACCCGCGAAGGTTCTCTGGATATATGCGGGGCTGGTGTCCTCGTGACGCAGAAACCTTAAGGTCGATTTGGACTTAACGTCAGCCTTTTATGTACGACTTTAGATGTCTCAAAGAGGGGATCTGGCTGTTTATTTTGCAGAGGCAAAATGACAACAAGCGCATTCATCACATAACACCTCTGGTATTCGCGGAGAAGACCATGAGAGAGACAGAGAGAGAGATTCTTTATTTCCTCCTGAAGTTAATCCGAAGATTGTACATAATTAATCAAACGTATTCACACAAACTCATATTACCTGTACATATATACAATACAAGGCAGTAGCACCAGTGTCATACCATTCACACAGTGCAAACGGTTAGATCAGACGACATAATCAAGGTAAGGCTTTGGTGTAAGTACATAAGCAGAAAATATCAGTATAACAGATTCCCATGTAACTTCCTGATTCCATTTACCTGGATCAGTGTAAAATCAAATTTCATTATCAGGTCCCTGGAATGCAACCAAGCGGCGGTATTAGGCGCTAAAAGGTTTACAATTCAATACCCGTCTCTTGCTACTCGGTACCCATTTACTGCTAGCGTATTTAGAAATGGAGACCTAACATGTGAAACCTGTATTTTGAAACGATGAGATGGATACCACCTGATTTAAGAAGAGAGTTTGATCAATAGTTAACGTTTTGTTACATTGTTCTAACCAAGCGGGTTCGGTTATCATTGTCCCTTAACGTCATAACATTGCAATGCCAGAGAATAACCAGTCTCGATTATCCGACGAAACAGATTCCATTGAGCGTAAAAGACAAAATAGCTGTGAAGTTTATATGAATGTGTCACAGAAATTCAGTCTCCAGGTGTTTGCGAAAAGGGTAAGCATGTCCTGCCCTCTCATTAGCCCTTCACACAATTTATCTAAAACAATTGTGTTTGTTTCCTGAAGCCGGACAGCGTCAGCAAGACCGTCAAAAGTGAAATTCAAATTTACTTGTCATCTCCTGGGCCCCTAGTTAACGACGTGTTACTGTTTATCGACATTACCTCTGTGCCTTTCATAGCTGCATGCACGTACTTACTTCAAAACAAGCTCCAGCTGTGACAAAAACGTTGACTGGCGTAACAAGACCATGCCCACGGTTACGAGGTCAATGCCATACCAAAGAACGACAAGTTCTTTGAAACTGTGGACTCAAATAAGGATTAAAATGTAACGGGCATGTGCGCAAGACTCTGATTGGTTGGCACATCCCACGTTATTTTTTATCCACACTGGTTATAGGCTAATATTTCAACACATTTGCTGTCTGTGTTTGGAGAAGCCGGCCTATACGTACAAACTACTTGACGTTGGGCTCCCCATTCTGCCTCACCGCGATGGAGATTTTAACACGTGGATTTGTGTTGGCGATGCTGTGTGTCTTATCTTCAGGTAAGGTGTATATGTATTATCTCGTTACATGGAGAGGCGGTGAGGTAGCCACGTGGTTAAACGCGTTCACTCGTCACGCAAAAGAGAATCCTGAATTTGTTACAGGCTCCCGACCCGTGAAGATTCCGGGGTAGAATAGGTCTTCAGCAACCAGTGCTTGCCGTAAAAGGTGACTATCCTTGTCGTAAAAGGCGACTAACGGGATCGGGTGGTCAGGCTCTCTGACTTGGTTGATGCATGTCATCGGTCTTAATTGCGTGGATCGATGCTCATGTTGTCAATCACTGGATTGTCTGGTCCAGACTCGATTATTTACAGACCGCCGTCATATAGCTGGAATATTGCTGAGTGCGGCGTTAAACAACAAACCAACCAACCAATCACGCCAAAGATCCGTCTTCGATTGCCCTCACTGCCCCCAATTTGTTTCAGATGGTACTGGAATCATTTTGAATTAACTTTTAAATCTTTGAAAGCGCAATGGATGGGCGAGGTGAGGTGAAATGTACGTGTGTGCGAGAGCGTGTGTTTTCGTACGTGCCTCTGTGTGTGTGTGTGTGTGTGTGTGTGTGTGTGTGTGTGTGTGTGTGTGTGTGTGTGTGTGTGTGTGTGTTTGACTGCTTGTACTAATCCTGACTAATACCGGTTTTATAGTCCCAGCCCACTGTGATACAATGTTGCAGTTCTACGTTGATACACCACTCAGAAACAGTATACTGACTACGAGCCGACCAGTCGTTGTTTTTCCCCTTAACCCGTGCGCAAGGCAGGGTAACAACAAGCACCATTTTAAACGTCTTTTGGTATGACCTTCCGTTCTCCAGTCAGACGTGTATCGCAATAGAAAGAGGGTTATCCAAAATATCCGTCTGTCCAATGATCGCTGGCACCATTTAAAAAACTGTTCCAGATGGATATCGGGATTGTTTTGTTTTGTTGAGGGTCGTGTAGTTTGTGAACGTCTGTCTGGCCATATATCCGTAGTTCGAGCCAAAACAAGATCGAAAATTCTCGACAATGTGACCACAATTGCACCTTCATAAAGAAGGACTGTCCTCCTATATCTGGCGCATGTTTTCGGCTTTGTTCCAGATATTGTGATTAAAAACGTGAGCAAACCTAAACATCATCTCTGATTATCGTAATCGTGAACTGCTTACTTGAGGAACATTTTGACTGTCACATTAAGAAAGTGTTTTTATGTTGAAGATATATTAATTAAATGTGCTGGAACGGTTAATTACCCGAGCGGACCCGTGAAGATCCGGGGTAGAATAGGTCTTCAGCAACACACGCTTGCCGTAAAAGGCGACTATGCTTGTAAGAGGCGACTAAGGGGATCGGGTGGTCAGGCTCGCTGACGTGGTTGAAGCATGTCATCGATCCAAATTGCGTGGATCGATGCTCATGTTTGAATCACTGGATTGTCTGGTCCAGACTCGATTATTTACCCACCGCCGTCATATAACTGGAATATTGCTGAGTGCGGCGTAAAACAACAAACCAACCAACATTGATTGACATAGCTTTGTTCCAGCACCGGTCCTTTCCATCATGCATGGCATTTGCCCAATGTTCATGTGTTTCAAGAGTTGCCCCATGGGCTACAAGAGGGACATGATGGGATGCAAGATGTGCGACTGCATGCATTGTAAGTAGTATGACAGTATCGGAGGGGGGAGGGGGGGGGGGGGGAAGGCACGTGTGGCCCAGTCGTCTAAGGCGCCGCGGTTCGCTGAGCAGAGTTGCGTGCCATGGGCACGCCAGAAACTTATGACTGTGGGTTCAAATCCCGGTTTGCCCCAATTATGGTTCTAGGTTTGTCAGCACCATACCCGTGCTCGTGGGTCTCACCGAAGTGGTAAACGTCTGAAACCTGCATCACTTCGGGCTTTCCTCCCACATTAAGCTGACAAGCCGTGATATGACTGGAATACTGTTAAAAGCGGCGTTAAACCCCACTCATTCACACAGTATCGGATCGGCAGTAACGACACGACGCATCCTTGTTCAGATTCCCGTCAATGTTCTTTTCTGAACAGACGACGCGTCAACACAGCGTCGGAACGTACTGGGTATCTTGGTTTCAGCAATGATTAGTGTTGCTGTTTCACTGAGGGCCGACGATTAACAGACATTGGACAGGATGGATTGTTACGTTCTATGACCAGGTGACGATACATAAGTCTAGGACTGGAGAGGGTGTTAGGCAATATGACCAGGTGATGATACACAAGTCTAGGACTGGAGAGAGTGTTAGGCAATATGACCAGGTGACGATACATAAGTCTAGGACTGGAGAGGGTGTTAGGCAATATGACCAGGTGACGATACATAAGTCTAGGAGAGGAGAGGGTGTTAGGCAATATGACCAGGTGACGATACACACATCTAGGACAGGAGAGGGTGTTAGGCAATATGACCAGGTGACGATACACACATCTAGGGCAGGAGAGGGTGTTAGGCAATATGACCAGGTGACGATACATTAGTCTAGGACTGGAGAGGGTGTTAGGCAATATGACCAGGTGACGATACATAAGTCTAGGACTGGATAGAGTGTTAGATAATATGACCTGGTGACGATACACAAGTCTAGGACTGGAGAGGGTGTTAGGCAATATGACCAGGTGACGATACACAAGTCTAGGACTGGAGAGGGTGTTAGGCAATATGACCAGGTGACGATACACAAGTCTAGGACTGGAGAGGGTGTTAGGCAATATGACCAGGTGACGATACACAAGTCTAGGACTGGAGAGGGTGTTAGGCAATATGACCAGGTGACGATACATAAGTCTAGGAGAGGAGAGGGTGTTAGGCAATATGACCAGGTGACGATACACAAGTCTAGGACTGGATAGAGTGTTAGGCAATATGACCAGGTGACGATACACAAGTCTAGGACTGGAGAGGGTGTTAGGCAATATGACCAGGTGACGATACACAAGTCTAGGACTGGATAGAGTGTTAGGCAATATGACCAGGTGACGATACACAAGTCTAGGACTGGAGAGGGTGTTAGGCAATATGACCAGGTGACGATACATAAGTCTAGGAGAGGAGAGGGTGTTAGGCAATATGACCAGGTGACGATACACAAGTCTAGGACTGGATAGAGTGTTAGGCAATATGACCAGGTGACGATACACAAGTCTAGGACTGGAGAGGGTGTTAGGCAATATGACCAGGTGACGATACACAAGTCTAGGACTGGAGAGGGTGTTAGGCAATATGACCAGGTGACGATACACAAGTCTAGGAGAGGAGAGGGTGTTAGGCAATATGACCAGGTGACGATACACAAGTCTAGGAGAGGAGAGAGTGTTACGCTTCATGATTAGTTGAAAAAGGCGATGCATGTACGTTATATTCTAGTTTATCTCTCATGGCATTACAGTACAAAGAATCGGGTAGTCCTAAGCTTGTTTTGGGTGGTATATGACAAGGTTTGTTTGTTTGTTGTTTAACGCAGCACTCAGCAATGTTCTGGCTATATTGCGTCGGTCTGTAAATAACCGAGTCTGGACAAGACAATCCAGTGATTAATATCATGAGAATCGATCCACGTTGGTGTGGATAGAACTAAGCCTGAGTTACTAGTTGGAAACACAGAATACTGTGGCTGAGTTGCACGACTAGGTGACAACAACCAGCACTACGACAGTGTGGTAGAACTGCATGATAACTCATAGGTAATTCAGTTGCGTCACGATAGACAAATGTGTTGTGAAGACAAACCCAATTCTGACAGTGAGCATCGACCACACAATGTCATGGTGGACAAATGCCACGAGCATACAATCAGTGACAGTCGTGCTTATGTTACTGCCTCGTGTAACGTGTAGCGTCCTTGCTACAGGGGCAAACAAGCCGACAGACCCGTGAAGATTCCGGGTAAGAATAGGTCCTTAGCAACCCATGCTTGCCGTTAAAAGGTGACTATGCATGTCGTAAAAGACGACTAACGGGATCGGGTGGTCAGGCTCGCTGACTTGGTTGATGCATGTCATCGATCCCAACTGCGTGGATCGATGCTCATGATATCAATCACTGGATTGTCTGGTCCAGACTCGATTATTTACAGACCGCAGTCATATAGCTGGAATATTGCTGAGTGCGGCGTTAAACAACAAACCAACAACCAACAAGCCGATAACACCGTGAATACGACCATGCCCCCAGTCCTCGGTGTTAACATGTCTGTCGTTTTACGTTTCAGTCTTCGGGAACTCAGGCTTCGGGAACTCGGGTTTCGGGAACTCGGGCTTTGGGATTGGAATGGGAAACATGAACTTCGGTTTCTCCTCGTCTTTCTCATCCTTTCAATTGGGTTCGTCCGGATTCTGTAAGTCGAGCAGCAGTGACGTTGAAGCCAGGGTTGACTTCATTTTTCTATCTACGCGACGTTTTTGTAAAGGTCACTTGCTTGATAAAGGGACCAGCCCCGATAATAATTCAAACTGAAAAAAATAATCTTCATTGATACTACAACTTCTATCGAGCCAAAATATAAATTGGTAACGTTATCCAATGCATTAACGTGAAATGTACAAAATTCACCGTATGAATAAACGTGTTTCGTAAGAGGTGCAAGGTAGATTAAATTATTAATATTATTTATTTATTTTGTATTTCATTTTATTTATTTATTAGTTTGTATAGTACATTTGGTTTGTGTTTGTTATTGGACACACATTAAAACGCATCAGATTTGCTAATTTGTAAGTTTTCAGAATCTATCAAATCATGGACGTTATACTGTCTCACGTGTGTGATTCTCTTTTGTTGACCAGTGAGTGTCTCATGTCCTTTTGGAATTCCGAAAGTGTTCTGTCCCATCTCACCTTGCCTGAACGTCAAGTGCCACATGTACCCTATGGCCACCTGCGTGTAAGTATACTACCCAGGGAGTTGAGAATACGTCATGTACCCTATGGCCACCTGCGTGTAAGTATACTACCCAGGGAGCTGAGAATACGTCATGTACCCTATGGCCACCTGCGTGTAAGTATACTACCCAGGGAGCTGAGAACAGTCATGTACCCTATGGCCACCTGCGTGTAAGTATACTACCCAGGGAGCTGAGAATACGTCATGTACCCTATGGCCACCTGCGTGTAAGTATACTACCCAGGGAGCTGAGAACAGTCATGTACCCTATGGCCACCTGCGTGTAAGTATCCTCCCCAGGGAGCTGAGAATACGCCATGTACCCTATGGCCACCTGCGTGTAAGTATACTACCCAGGGAGCTGAGAACAGTCATGTACCCTATGGCCACCTGCGTGTAAGTATCCTCCCCAGGGAGCTGAGAATACGCCATGTACCCTATGGCCACCTGCGTGTAAGTATCCTCCCCAGGGAGCTGAGAATACGCCATGTACCCTATGGCCACCTGCGTGTAAGTATACTACCCAGGGAGCTGAGAATACGTCATGTACCCTATGGCCACCTGCGTGTAAGTATACTACCCAGGGAGCTGAGAATACGCAATGTACCCTATGGCCACCTGCGTGTAAGTATCCTCCCCAGGGAGCTGAGAATACGCCATGTACCCTATGGCCACCTGCGTGTAAGTATCCTCCCCAGGGAGCTGAGAATACGCCATGTACCCTATGGCCACCTGCGTGTAAGTATACTCCCCAGGGAGCTGAGAATACGCAATGTACCCTATGGCCACCTGCGTGCAAGTATACTACCCAGGGAGCTGAGAATACGTCATGTACCCTATGGCCACCTGCGTGTAAGTATACTCCCCAGGGAGCTGAGAATACGCCATGTACCCTATAGCCACCTGCGTGTAAGTATACTACCCAGGGAGCTGAGAATACGTCATGTACCCTGTGACCAACGGCTTGTAAGTTTGTTGCCCAAGGGAGCTGAGAATACGTTTTGCATGCGGACAACGGCTTTTAAGTATACTCCTCGGGGATCACTGAACCGCCTCCGTGAGCTGAAGGTGAATGGTGAAAATATGTCATGTTCCACATCGTCATCTTCGTGTGCGTATACTTCCAGCTATATGACGGCGGTCTGTAAATAATCGAGTCTGGACCAGACAATCCAGTGATTGACAACATGAGCATCGATCCACGCAGTTGGGATAGATGACATGCATCAACCAAGTCAGCGAGCCTGACCACCCGATCCCATTAGTTGCCTCACGGCAAGCATGGGTTGCTGAAGACCTATTCTACCCCGGATCTTCACGGGCCTTAGGTATATGCACCGTGTTCATTTGCATGTATGTGCTGTGGTACCCATCTATTCATATCCAACCCTTAAAATGGTATTATTGTTCCCGGAGGGATTTGCTTGTGATCTTTGGCTTATCAGCATATGTGGTAAATATATATTGGTGAATGTGTTGTCCAATACTCAACTTTAGAATTCAACTTACTCACTTGAGATTGTAACCTTACGGAAGCCCGTTAGAGCAATATATGTTCTGTTTGAAAATTCAAGAAGCTTTTTCGAAACCTCAAGATGATATGTTGAAAATTCAAGATATAATTTTTTAGCCTTCGTAATAATATGTCTAAAGTACAAGATACTATGTTGTAAATCCAGTATACTTAATTCAGTTTTAAGTGCAATAACAATGTTAAAGTATTAATAGTATTATCTTAAAGGTTCAACACGATCTAAAGAATTTTCCATAAAGTATCTTCAAGTTTCAAAAGGTTATCTTGAATTTTCAAATAAGCATCTTAAAAGGCTTGATCATGAGAATGATATTTTAAAAGCCGATCTGTTTGTCTTGCCTCTATTGAATGACGGTCGGGTAGCCTAATGTTTAAAGCGTTCGCTCGTCACGCCGAAGACCCGGGTTCGATTCCCGACTTGGGTACAATGTGAAGCCTATTTCTGGTGTCCCCCGCCGTGATATTGCTGGAATATTGCTAAAAGCGGCGTTAACCCCTACTCACTCACTCACTTGACTCAATTGCAGGGAGAGCTACTGTGGTGGGTGTCATGCTGCCTTTTACCTGCACAAGAAGAAAATATTCTGTTGATGGACCTGGATCTCTGTCGCAGTACACCCGACTTGTACAGTACAATCCCATTAATCCAGACGTTGCTCTTCTTTCAACGGAACATGATACGGAGGATTTCTCTTTCGTCTCGATGTAAACTGAGTGGCAACAGAAAGTTTACCGAGCTTGCTCTTTTATGTACTTGCAACTTAAAGGCACTGTTGTTAAATTTGATTATGTCCTTTCAACCATCACTCCTTCCTGCAACAGTTTGTAAACAATAATCTGTGGATGGTTAATTTTGTGCAAATATTAATGAGTTAGTTGAAGACTGGGGTACAAACTGAGTTTTCAACCACATGACCAGTACTATGTTTGAAATGTTGTTAATGTGCCCAAAAAGGTAAATGTATTGATTTCAAAGATAAGCTGTCTAAGATACAAATCAAAGGTAGTGTATTATGCGATTTGTTCAAAAAGTTTTAAATCAAATTATATTTTTTAATAGTATCATAAGTATTCTTTGATTGCTAACTAAGCGCCAGTACAGTTAACAATTTGCATTTGAACAGGCCTTCAGCAACCCATGCTTGCCGTAAAAGGCGACTAACGTCATTCGGGTGGTCAGGCTCGCTGACTTGGTTGATGCATGTCATCTATCCCAATTGCGTGGATCGATGCTCATGATATTAATCAATGGATTGTCTGGTCCAGACTCGATTGTTTACAGAATGGGTTGCTGACACCCGACTTGTACAGTACAATCCCATTAATCCAGACGTTGCTCTTCTTTCAACGGAACATGATACGGAGGATTTCTCTTTGGTCTCGATGTAAACTGAGTGGTAACAGAAAGTTTACCGAGCTTGCTCTTTTATGTACTTGAAACTTAAAGGCACTGTTGTTAAATTTGATTATGTCCTTTCAACCATCACTCCTTCCTGCAACAGTTTGAAAACAATAATGTTGTGTACAAATTAATGAGTCAGATGACGACTTGTTTACACACTGAATTTTCAACCACATAACCACTACCATGTTTGAAATGTTGCAAATGTGCCCCTAAAAGTAAATGAATTGATTTCAAAGAAAAGATGTCTAATATACCCATCAAAGGTAGTGTATTGTGCGATTTCTCTTTTAAAGTTTTAAATCAAATTATATTTTTAAACTATAACCACGTATAAGTATTCTTTGAGTGCTGACTAAGCGCCAGTACAGTTAGCATTTTGGATTTAAAACCGCTAACGTAAGATATTTTCAATTGACAAATACAACATGGTAAAATCAAGTGAGGTATAGTTTCTATTGCTCCTCATTTTATATGTAACTTTAGAATGTTTTTCACTGGAGATGGATGTTAGCGACATTACTTGTCCAGATGTCACTGTATATAGATATACTTTCTTCTACATACATGATAGTGATTGGACGCCTGCATCATTTTCATATTAAAAAGAAGACGCAGTCGTACAAACCTGCCAGGCAAAAGACATTATATACCTGAAAATTGGATTTGATCCTAATTACTAATTTTATCAAAATGTTACTAGGCTAAAAACAGTCTCCGAAATACTGCAAACTTCAGGTAAAAAACACAACTATTATACCGGTGTCAAATGCATCACCATCGAATGACCATTTCTTGTTTTTTTTTACATTCTTAGGCACCATCAAACATGGGTGTATACTTTACCTTGCCTGGCAGTATATTTCCTACATGTGATATTGGTGGCAATATTCTATAAAGGCGAGGGCCGCGGTGAGACCCCTATATGCAGAAGACCCGTGAAGATCCGGGATAGAATAGGTCCTCAGCAACCCATGCTTGTCGTAAAAGGCGACTAACGGGATCGGTCGGTCAGGCTCGCTTACTTGGTTGATGCATGTCATCGATCCCAATTGCGTGGATAGATGCTCATGATATTAGTCACTGAATTGTCTGGTCCAGACTCGATTATTTACAGACCGCCGTCATATAGCTGGAATATTGCTGAGTGCTCATTTTGGTATTTGTCCGCGGTACCACCAATACCTGCTTGACTGTTAGCACAAGAACCCTATATGTTCCCCAGATGGTCGCAGGTACTGGCCATTATAATACGAAGTAGCAGTAGAAAGAGTAATCAAGTAACTATTGCTGATAATCGATTACAGAGTCTGTATCTTAATGTGAGAATCTCCTTGTAATCAAAAACAAATATGTTTCGTTAAAAGCATACGTTTACAGAATAGGCCGAACTACAGTAAACTACGGTTATAACGAACTCAAAGGGACCACTAATTTTAGTTTGTTATAACCGTAGTTCCTTATAAACATATATTCAGCATAACAACAGCAAATAGTCGGGACCAAAAAGTAAGTTCGTTATATCCGTATGTTCCTTATAAGCGTGTTCGTTTTAACCGTAGTTAAAATGTATATATATGGAGACGTTCCTGATAGCGATTTCATCTATAAACACTGCCGGGTAAAAGGAAATGTACACTAGAAAATCAAATTGGATTTGACCAGAAAAGTACAAACGTTATCATAATGGTACCAGGTAAATGTCGTGAGAACACTGTAAACTGAAGGTCCAAACACAAGAATGTTACCGTATCAAATACATTTTTTACAATGGTATAAGGATCTATATAGAAACGCCGCCTTTACAGTAAATATAGTAGTTGTTTTTCATATATTGTGTACTTTGTCATCCGTCAGCTTTAAAGGTAATGCTTGTCAAACAAAAGATACCCTGTCAAATATACCACCATGTAATAACTTTAACTTAACTTGTTTTTGTGGTAAAGTATATTCACGTATCCTCTTCCTGTATCACGAACACCTGTTATGTCGAATGTTAGGCACTTCGATACAACGACAATCATGTGTACTGCTTTTTTGTAAAAGTTTGATAATATCAACGATTGATGTTGAGTAAATAAAGAGAAGAAAAATAATATATTTACAGTTCTTTCTTTTTTTACAAATGTAATCAGCAAATACTATACAGAATGGAAACGGCGGTCTGTAAATAATCGAGTCTGAACCAGACAATCAAATGAGTGACATCATGAGCATCGATCTACGCAATTGGGACACAATGACATGGATCAACCAAGTCAGCGAGCCAGCAAACAACATACTGTATCTACTTATTTTACTCACGAAAGAACACACAATACAACATGGAAACGTGGTATGTCAGAACTATTACACGATTTTGGTCTAGTAGCGCCCGCCCGGAGAGCGGAAGGTCCGGGGTTCGATCCCCGGCCGCGTCATACCAAAAGACGTTAAAAGATGGTATTTGTTGTTACCCTGTCTGGCGCTCGGCATTAAGGGGCTAAAACAAGACTGGTCGGCTCGGAGTCAGTATACTGTGTCTGAGTGGGGTATTCATGTTAAACTGCGGCATAGTATCTCAGGGGGCTAGCACTAAAAATCGGCATCAGTCCGGACTAGTACAAGCAGCTCCACAAACACACACACGTACATGCACGTCGCTATATAAGTGCAATAATCTTGGACGCGACGCGATTTCACATCACCTTATTACCTGAACAATGTCAAGTACAACTGAGTTCTTCCTATGTTTTCTCTGTCGCATTGTTTAGCGTCACAATGAACAGTCTCTCCAACGTCTTAAATAACTCGATTGATGGAGCACCTATTGTGGATGATTTTAACATTTCTTGACGTGTACACATGAAACACACGTGCAGCTGTAACTGTGTAAACTGTAAGAACTGTGTAAATTCAGAAATGTTCACTTGTGAATGGTTCTTAATTTTCTGAAAGCAAACGTTCGTCAATATAAACCTCACTTTTCGGCAATATAAACCTTGTAGGACCCGGAATTTTTTCTGTTTTTGAATAAATTTTTATAATGTACCTTTGTATGTTGAATGTACCTGTGTTTTTTAATTGTCGTTTATTGTGCATGTATTTTGTTGTTTGTGATAGTGTAATATTGCCACTGTTTCTTCATGGAATGTTCCGCATCTAAAACATCTTTATTGTATGATAGTTTCCTACAGTTGTGTACGGGGGCACGGTTGGCCCAGTTGCTTAAGGCACTGCAATACGCTATGCAGAGTTGTGTCCCTTGGGCACGCCAGAATCCTATGACAGTGTGTTTGAATCCCGGTTCACACCGATTTTGTTGTCAGCAGAAAACCCTGCTCGTTGGTTTCACGAAGTGGTGAACGTCTACGACCTACATCACTTCGGGGTTTCCTCCCACATCAAGCTGACACTGAATACTATTCAAAACGGCGTTAAACCCAACTCCCTCACTCACTCTTGTGTACGGTTCCGTTTGGTTAACTGTGTTTGTGTTGTGACTACTTCCGGTTCATATACGGGTATATAATCTCTGCCTGAAAAACCTGTCAAAGCAATAAACCATGCAGAACCGTAAACCGCCGCATGAAACGGTATGAATCATATATAACATACAGTGAACTATTTGAAACAATACTGTGCTCAACTATGCCCAGCAAGGGTCATACATGTGATTATAAAGACAACTAATTACAAATTTCTCATATCAAAACCGTTGTTTTACAGGTGTTGTTTATTGAACAAAGTCATACTTTATAGAAGCCTGATATTTAATCGTGTTGAACAATATGTGAAGTTGAAAGATTGAGTGCGCGTGACAGGCTTGACCTAAATTCCTCCCCGGAACCTTTCTCTGAATAACATATGATACATTGCAAAGGTAGTGCGCAATAGAGCTGTTCGGGTAAGGGAGATAATCACTAACTCTCAGTGAAAAACTTGAACAAGATAAGATGTACAGCATTGCAAGGTCAGTGCGTGATAAAGCACAATACTACGCCTAAAGCTAAATGAGATAATCGCTCAATGCGCAATAGTTTATTCTTACAAAATATAGACCGGTTAACTTTAGCGAAATGAGATATATATTTCCCCTAAACATTTTAAGCTCTTTTAAAAACAAAATGAACAAATTTCATGGGTTACCTGCATTACGGAACGTGACTAAGTCTCACAATAGCAAGGCGATTTTGAAGTATCTCTTATTGCTGGAAGGAATAGCATCAATATCCCACGCCCATGATTTGTATGTTTCGTTTCGGTAAATGCGTGGCTAGAAATTTCAAACCATCATGTCGACATACATGCTACAAAACTTACCGTTCCCGTATACTTCCCCACCTTCAGGGCGGGGAAGAATAAACTCAATCTTTACCAGTCCAACCTAGCATATGATTGCGTGTTTACACCATCCTATGAGTAATTGTTTCAAAGTAGACCAAGTTGGTTCTACCACTTATCAGAATGCAGCTACTCCTCTCCGCAACTAAAATCAATCTCAATATCGTGCCATTGTGCCCATTTCTGTCTTCTCCATCTTGGCCTTTGTTGACGCCTGAGTTATTTTTACTCACTCATGCTTGCCGTAAAAGGCGACTATGCTTGTCGTAAGAGGCAACTAATAGGATCGGGTGCTCAGGCTCGCTGACTTGGTTGATGCATGTCATCGTATCCCAATTGCGTGGATTGACCAGATTATTTACAGACCGTCATATAGCTAGAATATTGCTGCGTGCGGCGTTAAACAACATACAGACGCAAAAAACACTTATCAGAATGCAGCCACTCCTCTCCGCATCTATATTCGATCTCAATATCATGCCATCGTATAGATTTCTGTCTTCTCCACCTTGCCATTTGGTGATCATGAAGCTGAATACACACTCAGGAAATCAAGATACAAACTCGTGGGTGCACCAACATGGATATCATCAACGGAGAGCAAAATATCATTCTCACTGTTTGTTGTTTGTTTGTTTGTTGTTTAACGCCGCACTCAGCAATATTCCAGCTATATGACGGCGGTCTGGACCAGACAATCCAGTGTTTAATATCATGAGCATCGATCCACGCAATTGGGATCGATGACATGTATCAACCAAGTCAGCGAGCCTGACCACTCGATCCCGTTAGTCGCCTTTTACGACAAGCATAGTCGCCTTTTACGGCAAGCATGGGTTGCTGAAGGCCTATTCTACCCCGGATCTTCACGGGTCTCACTGATCCAGTTTGGCTGACGGGACCATGGATAGTAGCTAAGTTGCAAGTGCCTCATAGATCCAAGACCGCTTCTTCCAGAATCCCAGACAATAGCTCAATTTACACCGCAGAGACTTAGGCTATTTTAACAGTTTTGTTTTTTAACCAACAAAAACGACGTAAAACAATAACATATTTTCACATTCCTAGTCTTACCTACAGGCACTTAAAAGTATTTCCTAAAGTAATACATTAATTCCAGAGACTTGGGAACTACATAACGACATTTCTACTGGTCAATGCGACATCTTCTTTCGTTGGTTTCCCAGCCATGTTGGTATAAGCTGGTAACGCAAAACCCGATGCAGCAGCTGAGGCAGTTCCTGACAAGGTATTATCTCTACCGTGTTATCCCATACAGTGATATAAAATCAATAATAAAAAGCTATTTTCGGGACACCGACATAAAAAATAAACTTCAAACCAACAATCGGTTATACCTGCTTGTCTGTATTCAGTCAAGATACGATGAGGTCATTTTGCGACAATGTCACAATATTGGCCATTGTCGTTTTACCCATGAATATCTGCTGAAACCTCACGACGAAAGTTTAACTATCAAGCATATTTTGCTTCTCTGCGTGGACTTTCCAATCGAAAGGGATTTGTATTTTAAGGCAGGAAATTTGAGTTTTAAATAATAGTATCTAAGGGAAATCGATCAGCATGTAAATTCTGAATGCATGTACATAGTACGTGTTGAAATAACATGCTACTATTGTACTTCATGTTGTTATCTATAAGTGTTTTACATTTAACTGTATGGGTTGTTTTATACTGCAACTGTTTTGACGTGCTAAGTAAAATATTAACTCACTCACCCACTAACTCACTTAAAGAACACCCGTGAAAAGCCGGGGTAGAATAGGTCTACAGCAACCCATGCTTGTCGTAAAAGGCGAGTATACTTGTCATAAGAGGCGTCTAACGGGATCGGGTGGTCAGGCTCGCTGACTTGGTTGATGCATGTCATCGTATCCTAATTGCATCAACCAAGTCAGCGAGCCAGACCACCCGATCCCGTTACATGTACGTTGCTATATAAGTGCAATAACCTTGGACGCGACGTTAAACCCCATTTCACCTCACCTTTAATGTAACATTGCACACACAAAGACTAGGTTGGTTTACCGGGCCTACGCCTCTTGCTATGTAGGAGTTTTAGAAGTTTATTTTTTTCCGTTTCCATGGCAATACGTTTGACTTAGACTCTGTTCATAGTGGTGTGTTTGTCCAGGTCAAACCTCTAAAACTAATAGCTGTTCTCTCACCACAAGAGTGTCTGTATATCTATTCACCAGTGAAGGTTAACAAAATAACAGAAAGGAATTAGTGTAAACATTTATGTCTATATTTCTATTAAGCAGAAATATATCCGATTTCATTAGTTTAATGTGGAAGGTGAGCGTCAGTAACTATTGATGGGGTGGGGGTAATCAATTTGTATTCTTCTGAAGACTTGTTTTTATTATAGAAGTTTAAACTTATACCATATTTTATCAAATAAAACCATGTAGAAATATTCTCCGACTGTTGACTAAACGCCAGCACTGTTCATTTTTTTAAATAATATCCCTATCTTAAGATATTTTCAACTGAACATCAAACATAGGATAAAATCAACTGAGAGGTGTAGTTTCTTTTCCACCCGGTTAAGTTGGCCATATTATTACTAGTATCATAATTATTATAACTATTATTATCAGTGGCATTTGTAGATGACCCATCATGTTCGTGTAATTAATAGTACTTATACTGATATTATTATCATTATGGTTGTTTGATTATTTATTTTATTTTATTTAATTTATTTTGAAACTGAAAATGATAACATGTCTCCGAGACTGAATAGCACATTCAATATAAAACGCCAACATTGTCCAAAAGAACCAGTCGTCTTTGGCGCCGCGATTCGCTGTGCAGAGTTGCGTCCCTTGGGCACGTCAGAAACCTATGATTGTGGGTTCGAATCCCGGTTCGCCCCGATTATGTTTCTAGGTTTGTCAGCTCCATACCCGTGCTCGTGGGTTTCACCGAAGTGGTAAACGTCTAAGACCTGCATCACTTCGGGCTTTCCTCCCACATTAAGCTAACACGCCGCGATATAACTGGAATAATGGTAGAAGCGGCGTTAAACCCAACTCACTCACTCACTCCAGAAGAACACGTATTCATTCGTGATTACAATGTTGACCGGGGCTATGATACGTGCGAGGACGAGGTTTTCCCACATAATACCTAACAGAATCAGTCAAGTGCTTGAGGATGTAGCGAATGGCGTATTTCCGTGATGTGTAGACAGTAAGGTATCGGCCCTTCCTAGTCTAAACGTAGATGGACTTCACACACGGAAGCGTTCTCCGCACAACACGTTCAATAATCAAGGTTTGTTCAAAGTAAACATCCCTGGTCAAAAGTTACATCCTTCAATGTTTTGTTTGTTTTAAGCAATATTAGTACTCTTATCATTCCATACACTTGCATTCTAACACTGAAGCTAAAACAACCGGTATTGACTTCCAAGTCACATTTCCTTACCAAAAATCTGCTTCAGGTGATGTTTTTGAGACAACTCTTTGACCGTAGGGACAGTACAATGTACTTGTTGACAGCTTAATCCAAATACTAACAAACGCTCGCGAGTTCCTTGAAAGGCTCCGAACTTCTTGTTTCGTACATTTGACATTGGTTTAACTTTAAAGAAGTCTTGGTTTTACAAGTGGCTTTTGTCACGATCCATGTGTATATAAGTGTGTGAGCGGTCGCTGTGAGAAATTGTCTTTCCAAGCCATTGAGAGAACGTTTACAACAATGGATGTACTTCTACAAGCCTGTCTGCTGTGCCTGCTATGTACGACGCTAGTAGGTAAGTGAATCTAGCGTGATGTCTTGTAGTCGGAATAACCAGGTTTATCCCAAATCATTGAGTTCTCAGACTCTTTTTGTTGGATAAATTATCGCATTTGCTATTAATTGAGTTTTATTGTTGGGGTCGTAATAACCTATGGTTTACTATAGTTTGGACGAGGAGTGTTAAAGACACATTAATACTTGTTGTTTAAGACTTGGAAAACCGACAAGCTGGGAACACTGCCACTAAGTATCACATACCAGGAGAATCCAGGATTCGAACCGACCCTTGAAGGTTCGGGGTAGAATAGGTCTTCAGCAACCCATACTTTCCGTAAAAGGTGACTATGCTTGTCGTAAAAGGCGACTAACGGGATCGGGTGGTCAGGCTCGCTGACTTGGTTGATGCATGCCATCGATCCCAATAGCTTGGATCGATGCTCATGATATCAACCACTGGATTGTCTGGTGCAGACTCGATTATTTACAGACCGCCGTCATATAGCTGGAATATTGCTGAGTGCGGCGTTAGACAACAAACCAACCAACCTTTTCGCGAACACCTGGTGCCATCACTGATTCTCAATGGTCATTCATGTAATTAGCATCTCTTTTTTGCCTTTTACGCCCATGAAATCTGTTTCGGAAGACAATCGAGACTGAATAATGACATCGACGTTTTGAGTTTAGTAACCGATGGTGCTATCTCCCCTGCAGCCCCCGCACGCTCCATGATGTTTGGAGGCTGTCCGGGGTTCATGTGTGGCAAAAACTGTCCTTCCGGCTACAAAAGAGATATGATGGGATGTAAACTCTGTCAGTGTAAAACACGTAAGTATCATTGTTTTATACCCCCTTGGGGTATTCCAAAGGTATCATTGTTTTATACCCCGACGGGGTATTTCAAGATATCATTGTTTTATACCCCCTTGGGGTATTCCAAAGGTAAGGTGAATGGGGTTTAACGTCGCGTTCAAAATAATTGTACTTTATACCGGGGTAGAATAGGTCTTCAGCAACCCATGCTTGCCGTAAAAGGCGACTATGCTTGTCGTAAGAGGCGCCTAACGGGATCGGGTGGTCAGGCTTGCTGACTTGGTTGATGCATGTCATCGATCCCAATCGCAAGGATCGATGCTCAATTATGTCAATCACTGGGTTGTCTGGTCCAGACGCGTATATTTACAGACCGCCGTCATATAGCTTAAATATTGCTGAGTGCGGCGTTAAACAACAAACAAACAAACAAACAAACATATTAAGGATACCGATCATGGTGTCATGTAAACTGACGACTAAAGAAAGTATACATCCCTGTTTGATGGTGGCTAAAAATGAAAGAAACAACGAAATGGTTAATCGATGGTCATATATTTGATACGGGTATCATAGTTGTGTTCTGGACCTTAAGTTCACAGTTCTTCGGCGACTGTTTTCAGCATAGTAACGTTGATAACGTTTGTGATTTTTAATTGAAATCCAATTTTCAAATATATATTTTCTTTTTCCCTGCAGCTTATTTGTGAGTATCATGTACTATGTTTCAATTTATCTTCACAGCTCCTGTAGTAAACAGACCAATATTACGTAAGTACATTCATTCCTGCGCCATATGCCAAATCTGCACGAGAAATGCACAATGTACGAGGGGCGTTCAATAAGTTTTGCAACTTCAATATAAGACCACTGTCACTGGGGTCTAAGTCTGGGCTGTACAGTTAAATCACCCACCCTAGAGCCCAGACTTAGCCCCCAGTGACTATTTCCTGTCCCGGCAAATGAAATCTGCCCTACGTGGAAGACGCTTCCAGGATGACGAGGACATAAAGGCTGCCACAGAGGTGTGGTTTGAGGGCCAATCTGCGGATTTCTATAAAAGTGGTATTGAAAGCTTGAAGAACAAATGGAATACTAGTAAGTGTATTGAGGTGAATGGAGATTATATTGAAAAATAAAAGTGCAAAAGATATTCTGCGACTTGGTCTTATATTGAAGTAGCAAAACTTATTGAACGCCCCTCGTATGTCTTAAGGCCGCCACACACAATAGAGCAGCTCTGCGCAGAGGGTCGGCATAAATAAATCTTTTTCTTCTTCAAATAGCAGATCAACGCGTAGACATCCATTTCTTCCATTGCTTCCCGCTCTTTCATTTTTGTTTGTCTTCTCTGATATATACCTCATAATCAACGCTTACCTCTCATGCATTTTCCTGTCATGGTTCTCAGTGGTTCTAATATAATGTACACCTGGCATCCATTGGACACACATTATAGATGTCCAAAACATGGTTATACCTGCACGTCTATTTAAAGAATGTTTGGTAACAGCTGCGCTGTGTGAATGTGGGTAACATCAATCGAGGCCTCAGTAAAGCTTTCAGAAGGTTTTGTGGTAGACAGGTGGAGGACATTTCCAAATTTGGCTTATCTGAAACGGGTCTGTATTTTTTAATTCAGCATATATTTTGAGACAACTGTGGATTAGGAAAGTTTGTGTTTCAAATTTATACTTTAAATGTTTTTCTACATTTTACCTTTTTGTCTGACAAACCAGTTGTCCCCGTGGTGTGCAGGGAGCCTAACTGTAGCATGCTGTGTGCCGACGGCTACGTGCGCGACAGCAGGGGGTGCCTCACGTGCATGTGTAAGCCAGGTAAGTAAAGGGTCTTCAGAACAGTTGAGGCTGAATGAACATTTGGCATAAATAATGTAATCACAACCGGCGCACCCCTTCACGGTTAATGAGCACAGTCCACTGAGTCTCGAGTCCATTGAGTCACTGAGTTTGGGGTTTAACTCCGCGTCCAAGATTATTGCACTTATACAGCGACGTGTATGCACGTGTGTGTGTGTGTGTGTGTGTGTGTGTGTGTGTGTGTGTGTGTGTGAGAGAGAGAGAGAGAGAGAGTGTGTGTGTGTGTGTGTGTGTGTGTGTGTGTGTGTGTGTGTGTGTGTGTGTGTGTGTGTCTGTGTATGGCTGCTTGTACTAGTCCGGACTGATGCCGATTTATAGTGCTAGCCCACCGAGATCCCATGCCGCAGCTTTAACATGACTACCCCACTTAGACACAGTGTACTGATTCAAAGCCGACCAGTGCCTGTATTGTGCCGAGCGCCAGGTACCATGTTTTAACGATATTTATTTTGACGCGGCCAGAAATCGAACCATCAACCTTCCGCTGTCCGGACAAACACAAATCTACAGACCAAGGAGGCTGTCGAATCACGATAGATTAAGACGAGTTTAACTTAAACGCTTTCACAAGTCGACACCGACAAGTAAGAATGATGTGTGCTTTGGCCAGAGTTTTTTTGGGGGGGTATGAGTGAGTGAGTGAGTGAGTGAGTGAGTGAGTGAGTTTGGTTAAACGCCGCTTCTAACATTAGTCCAGTTATATCACGGCGTGTCAGCTTAATGTGGGAGGAAAGCCCGAAGTGATGCAGATTCCAGACGTTTACCATTTCGAGGAAACCCACGAGCACGGGTATGGTGCTGACAAACCTAGAAACATAATCCGGCGAACGAATCGGGATTCGAACCCACAATCATAGGTTTCTGGCGTGCCCAAGGGACGTAACTCTGCACAGCGAATCGCGGCACCTTAGACGACTGGGCTACCCGTGCCCCGGGGTATGAAGGCGGTTGAGGTTAATGAACACCTGTCATCTCAAGCTGTCTTTTTTCAGCTTCTTCTTCGGTTATGGGTGTGATGAGCCCCATGAATACTGGTTCCGGTTCCGGTTCCGGGTCAAGCTCCTCGGGGTCAGGTTTTTGTGAGTAAAAGCTTTTTTTTTGTTACATCATTACCTTACAGCTTTACCATTAAATGTGTTTGTCTAAAGGTCTTATACGTATTTTGATACCTTGATGCAACTAAGCTTAATGAACAGTTCATACACTCAAAGGAACCCACTCGTCCGATGGCAAATGACCAGATGGTCGAAACATGAATACGTACATATACACCCGAAACAAAAGTGTCAAAACGTTTGGTGTCACCCTTGGCACGTGTTCACATGTGTCTCTGTTCACTCGGCAGGGAATGGGTACCCAATATATGAGGTGGTTTGTAAACACCCTCTAGCGCCCGTCGGCAGCTTGGGTTGTATACTCCCTAGGGAGTCGAGAATGATAACTGGCATGCAAACGGATCCACAGGTCGGGGAACAAAATAAAACCGCATTTGAGCAGATACCCTGCGGAATATAAATATATATATTATATTAATAACAAAACCTTAGCTCAGTTCTGTATCGCTGTATTACTGTATATACATATTTTAATGTGATATAATATTATTTTTTTCATATTTTATTGATAATCAAAGGTGCAATATGAATTTCCCCATGGGATTTCATTGTCTGATCTTTTCCTATCTCATCTGATGTTGATGTTGATGTTTGATGTTGGAGTTGGGTTCTTAAGATTTATATTTATTTCAGTGTCTATTCCGTGTCCCAAGGGGGTGTCAAAGGTCAATTGTAACATGCCACCGTGCCTTGGAGCCAAATGCCGAATGTACCCCATGGCTACCTGTGTGTAAGTGTCTCAGATCCATAGGTCTGAAATCGTCAAAAACAATGTGTCACATGGCTACCTGTGTGTAAGTGTCTCAGATCCATAGGTCTGAAATCGTCAACCGTCCAAAACAATGTGTCACATGGCTACCTGTGTGTAAGTGTCTCAGATCCATAGGTCTGAAATCGTCAACCGTCCAAAACAATGTGTCACATGGCTACCTGTGTGTACATGTCTCAGATCCATAGGTCTGAAACCGTTAAAATACCCGTGAAGATCCGGGATAGAATAGGTCTTTAGCAACCCGTGCTTGTCGTAAGAAGGTGAGGTGAGGTGAAATTGGGTTTAACGTCGCGTCCAAGATTATTGCACTTATATAGCGACGTTCGTAAGAAGGCGTATATGCTTGTCGTAAGAGGCGACTAACGGGATCGGGTGGTCAGGCTCGCTGACTTGGTTGATGCACGTCATCGTATCATAATTGCGTGGATCATGATGTCAATCACTGGATTGTCTGGTCCAGACTCGATTATTTACAGACCACCGTCATATAGATGGAATACTGCTGTGTGCGGCGTTAAACAACAAACAAACAAACAAAACGTACGATGATGGCACTTCCAAGGCATGTAAATGTGGGTAGAAAAATGTCGGTGCCCAAGCCGACTAACCGTTTGCTAACTGTTTAAACATGACCGTATACATTTGTTCAATCTCTACCCTTCTCTGGGTTCGAATCCCAGTTCTAGGTTTGACAGCACCATACCCGTCCTCGTGGGTTTCTCCGAAGTGGTAAACGTCTGAGACCTGCATCAATTCGGGTTTTCCTCCAAAATTAAGCTGACACGCCGTGATATAACTGGAATATTGTAAAACCCAACTCACCCACTCACTCTACCCTTCTGCCTTACAGTGAAAGCTACTGCGGGGGCTGTCGTTATGCATTCTACGTTAACAAGAAGAAAGTGTCCTGCTGAGAGACCAACTACCTTGACAACATCGCGTGTGTAGCTACGTGTAAAAACAAGAACCTGTCCTGCTTAGAAAGCAGCTACCCAGCTTTATTGCTGAGTGTACCGTTAACAACAAGAAAGCGTCCTGAATTGTTTGATAGTCATTACTTAGAAGTTGACGGATGCCAAAGTGGACACGATTTATGGATAACAACTTCTTTAATTGCTGTAAAGGCGACGTTTCGGTTTTCGGGATAGAGCACTTGACAAGTCTTGATTGACAAAGCTATAAGGATCTATACCGAAACGTCGCCTTCGCAGTAATTAAAGAAGTTCTTATCCATAAATTGTGTCTAACTTGAAGAGAGCTTCCTGCTTACACACACTCAGATCCATACATTGTCCATATATTGTATTGTTTCATCGTCATTGCACCGTTATACATCGTGTATACATTATAACCACTGAACTGTGACTGGTAGCACTGTGGTTTAAGAAGACATGGCGTGGGTCGAATCTTACATTCGTCCAAGATACCATCTTGACTTTGTCAGTATATTACCGTGTTCGTTGATGTCATAAGCTGAAACCAACATTGTTGTCACTTTCTCCCTTACAGTCATTCTACATTTATACTTTGAATAAAGTAATGAAACACTACTAATATCTTTGACTATTGCTTTAGTAATCGGTTGGCCATGTAGTAAGTAACTATCAATCAAACTGGACATTATTAGGCTCAAAGAAGGGAAATGTTTCCAGGTCAACGGCGCGTCACTTTAAATGGTGCGCGTCCGTCATATAACTACTCACCGCCAAAAGAAACCCGAACCATCGACACATATGAAGTATGTAAGAGATGTTTCCAGTATGTACCAATTAAAGACAAAACTAACAATCAGGCAAATGTTACAATCGAGTGTCTTTATTCTTATCACGATATGCTGCGCGTGATTTCCAAACTTAACCAGCTAATCCTGCACGAGCGAATGGTGCATCTCGAGTCATGGGCCAATGTTATGCGTTCATGAGCATCGTATAACAGTATGTTCATTTGTGGTTGGTTGGTTGGTTGGTTGTTTAACGCCGCACTCCGCAATATTCCAGTTATATGACGGCGGTCTGTAAATAATCGAGTCTGGACCGGACAATCAAGTGATTAATATCATGAGCATCGATATACGCAGTTGGGATCGATGACATGCATCAACCAAGTCAGCAAGCCTGACCACTCGATCCCGTTAGTCGCCTTTTACGGCAAGCATGGGTTGCTGAAGACCTATTCTACCCCGGATCTTCACGGGTCCCACGCAATTGGGATCGATTACATTCATCAACCAAGTCAGCGAGCCTGACCACTCGATCCAGTTAGTCGCCTCTTACGACAGGCATAGTCGCCTTTTTACGGCAAGCATGGGTTGCTGACGACCTATTCTACCCCGGATCTTCACGGGTCGATTGCTATTTTGAGCAACGCTCGACGTCGCAGGGATACAGAGACACGCCATCAACCGAGTCTGATCACCTGATCCATACAGCCGTGTCTTTCGACCGTCATGGTTGCTGGGGACCGAGTCGAACCCGGAATCTCCACGGGGACATTTGGAGGTCATTGACGAAGAAACTATAAATGACGAACCTCAACACATGTGATTTGAAATATGGATTTTGTTGCCGTTTTTATAGCTGAAAATGTGTTGAATCGAACAAGAAACTAAAAACAAATTTCACAAACTTAAATCTGAAATGAAATCCATTTTCGCAGGTGTTTTATTTATATCAGTAAAACACATCCACATTCTCGTGATGTCAAGTCACATCTGAACATTCGTCAGCCGTGCCGCCTGGGGTGTTCTTCTGAGCAGGCCTGTAAATGATCATCTGAAAATAGATTAACAGGTTTGAGGACTATAGGTGAGTGCCACGCGCTCCTCCGTACCAGAACCAATGCCTCGTGGGCACGTGCGATAACAGAGTAACATAAGCGATCTGCTTAGAAAGTGTAATTGCCTTTTGATATGGATGAGGTACAATTGCAATAGCCTCAAGCACAGCTCACCGCCGGTAACCGTCATGATGTCTGTGTTGCCTCGCCACAACGCCTGTCTGTACTTCTGTAAACACTGTTGTCAATCAGTTATATATTTGATGCTTAAAAACAGGCTAGTGCCTCATAAATGCATTGATTTAGACAAATGGGATTTAAATCAGCTATCACAATGCGATTCTAAATTACTGATTTATGAATAATATATTCTTCTCAATGATAATCAGGTAAACAGAAGCGACAAAATTCTTTCAATATTTATAAGTATCTACTAAAATCAGAGTCGATTGTATGACTGTATCATGAGCATGAGTTTATAAATCACTATCAAACACAGACGATACCACGTGTGTGGGTGTGCGTATTCTGCCCCGCATTCGAAACAGTGTATGCTTAAGGGGTTTATCCCGGTACAGTGAGTTAAAGTTGACAGGCCGTGTTATAACTAAAATATTGTTCAAAGCGTTCATGAACCTAACACATTCCTCAAATGTGTTTTTTACGTACACCTTGGCCCACGTACATAAAGCGATCTTAGCGCTAAGATGATCGTAACTCCCATACTTTAACATAGGCCTACAATAGTCGTAGCGCTAAGATCGCTTTGTGCAAGTGGGCCCTGACCAGCATACTGACTTGGTTGATGCATGTCATTGATCCCAATTGCGTGGATCGATGCTCATGATGTCAATCACTGGATTGTCTGGTCCAGACTCGATTATTTTACAGACCGCCGTCATATAGCTGGAATATTGCTGAGTGCGGCGTTAAACAACAAACAAACAAACAAACACACAAACACGGCTTTCAATGTTAGTCTCCAACCAAACACCATTCTCATTCCAATTTTCGAAGGAACCCATGATATATTATCAGCAATCCTAAGAGATGAAGTATCCTCCGAAACCTGATCTTCGGCGTGACGAGCGAACTCTATAACAACTCCACTCTCTCAATAATACAAAGGCGACTATGCTTGTCGTTAAAGACGACTAACGGGATCTGGTGGTCAGGCTCGCTAACTTGATTGATGCATTTCATCGATCCCAATTGCGTGCATTGATGCTCATGATGTCAATCACTGGATTGTCTGGTTCAGATTCGATTATTTTACAGACCGCCGTCAAACAGCTGGAATATTGCTGAGTGTGGCGATAAACAACAAACAAACAAACAATAATACAAAGCCGTGTAATTCTTTTTCGAAAATAGCGAGACAGAACGCAGTATTGGACTTGACATTATTTACCTCAGCACGGGTCCGATTCTTCGCCTGGGGGCACACAATGCCCCCAACGACCACTGACCACGTTGAAGACGAAGTTCTGGTTGCATCTGTAGGGAAGTCGCAGGTATTTCTCGGACTGCCCCAGCCATGGATATCCAGGACACGTGATGGTCCTAGTGAATGTTAAGAAAATTAATTCAATTTATTATATATTTATTTATGTTTTCATTTCTAGTTCCATTGAAAGGGTTGATGCCACTTAATAGTGGTTCATACCAAGTAGTTATTGCGGGGAGCACGGGGGGCCAAGTGGTCCTAGGCGCCGCGATTCGCTGTGCAGAGTTGCGTCCCTTGGGCACGCCAGAAATCTATGTTTGTGGGTTCGAATCCCGGTTCGCCCCGATTATGTTTCTAGGTTTGTCAGCACCACACCAGTGCTCGTGGGTTTCAGACCTGCATCACTTCGGGCTTTCTTCCCACATTAAGCTGACACGTCTTGATATAACTGGAATACCGTTAAAACGGCGTTAAACCCAACTCACTCACTAGTTATTGCGATTATGAAAACTGGCTGAGAGCATGCAATATGATCACAGTGCATTCTTTCAAACTGGGGCGGTCGGGTAGCCTAGTGGTTAAAGCGTTCGCTCGTCACGCCAAAAACCCGGGTTACATTCCCGACATTGGTACCATGTTCGAAACCCATTTTTGGTGTCCCCCGCCGTGATATTGCGGGAATATTTTGCTAATAGCGACGTAAAGCCATGCTCACTCACTTCTGTCAAACTGGGAAAGTCGTAGGTTATTGATTCTTGTATGTATGGTTATTCTCTTCAAAGTGCAATGTTGTCGCCTCAAAACAGGTCAGGGTACGTTTGGTTTACAACACAAGTACTTCGACCATGGCTATTGGAATGACGTGTTGGGTAAATGTTGTTTTGAATCCACACGCACATATAAACACTGTAGAGCCTAGTGGATAATGTAGTTGCTTGTGTGTTTATACAATGGGATGGGTACGGTAAATAATAATAATAATAATAATAATCAATGTCGGTTTTTCAAGGAGAGGCTATCTGAACGACCACTGCATCGAGTTTATGTGCAGTGTGTTGAGAAGATAAGCAATCCTGCAGAGTCCTTCGCTTGGATGAAGTCGTCTGGCCTGAAAGGTGAAACAGAAGGCTTTCTGTTTGCTGCTCAGGACCAGTCACTTCCCACTCGAAACCGTCAATGTGTGATTTTGAATCAAAATGTAAATATGAAATGTAGATTACGTAATGAATTTAATGAGACAGTCCAACACATTGTGAGTGGATGCCCAGCTTTGGCACAGATCTAGACACAGTATCTTACGCGACATGATGGGGTGGCTCGATCATTTTATTACCGTCTTCGCCATGCTTGTGGTTTTGACACAGAGGTCCATCCATGGTGCGACCCAGAATATGTAGAGGGCGTCATGGAAAATGATAAATAAAAAATCCTTTGGAATAGGCCCGTATACACCCTCAGACATATCCAGGCCATCAAATCTGATCTTGTCCTTTTTGATAAATCCAATGAAATCATATCATTGAATTTTCTGTCCCTTTTGACAGTAATGTGATTGACAAGATTGAGGAAAAACATGGCAAATATGCAGACCTCGCTTTCGAAACGTCACGCTTGCATCCCAAGTACCAAGTTGTCCGACTCCCCATTGTTCTCGGTGCCTTGGGTTTGGTACCTCCCAATCTGTTGACTGACATCGGGAGAGTACCCGGGTTTGCTACCAGGAAGACAGCCCTTCTGACAATCTGGGTAATGCAGAAGGCTGCAGTGTTGGGGAGTCTTCACATTCTCCGAAAAGTTCTGGGTGGTTTTGACTAGGCAGCGCTTCCTGGGAGAAGTCCCATTCGCTGTCTGGGCTGCGTGTAGAGGGGGCAAGGGCCCTGTGATGATGATGAGCCTAACCAGCCTGACTGTGCCAGGATCACCCAAAACCTCTTTGCTGCATTTTAACCTGTAAATAATAATAAATTCCTGTAATTATTTTTTTTAATTACCTGTAGAATTTATGACAGTCAGTGCTATCCCTTTCGAAGCCATATATCCTTTGGCCAAAACAGTCGCTTTCAGCTCGTATCGACATGCCATGGATCGTCACAATGATAATCAGCATACAGGGGGGAAGGAGAGTCATCGTCCTGTGACAAGAGATATGAAAAATCAAAATTATCATTTTAGGAAAAACTTATACTTTTTTTAACTAACGAGAAGGGAAACAACTGATATGAGTATTATTCCAAAACAATAACTGCAAACAGGTTCAAACATTGATTACGTCTTTTCTAAACAGAATTATAATTTCCGGTTGTTGTTTTATATACACATGAGACAATAGACTACAGAACAAAAAATCAATCATAGACCTCGGAACCTAAAACAAAAGAAACCAAACGAAAACCAATCACTATCAATCCAAAACAACATTACACAATATAAAACAACTGTAAACAATACAAAAACAACAATCAAAACAATTGACTGCAATATAATACAATTTAAAAATCCTAATTCGACTCTTTCGAGTTTTGGAAACTTAAGAAAGAAGGGTTTGTTCGACAGTCTTTTAAACTTTGGAAGGAGGGCGTTGTCTTATAAATCAATGTCTGTGGGCGAGTTGGAATCAGGAAACAAACTTTGAAAAAAACAGAATGACAACAACAAAAAACTATTTATGACGGATGCTCAGTACTGCTCATACTTAATGTCACCTACCTCTTCAGAACGACTTTCACGGCGCATGCGTGTTGTTTAACGCCGCAGTCGGCTCTAATCCAGCTATATCGAGCTGGCTGTAAATACAACAGTCAGGACCATGCAAACGTATTTCACGTGTGGATGACAGGTGAGGATGTAGCATCCTAAACCAATGATGTCGCGGACCAATCAGCGGGTCCCTGGGGTCGTTAAATGTACATATTACCCAACCGTTGTTAAACACCGCTCCAAGAGACGAGATACGTAAGTTAGCCCAAGGTGTGTAGGCGGAAGGGGCTATGTAGTCGGGTATCGCCATACACTCTTTATCATTCAACAGGTCTTAAGACCGGGTAAATGAACCGATCATTAATATAATTATTATTATATCATACATTGGCATCAAACTGAACGTCACTTACTCCCTACCATTGTTTACCCCGGTACATGTGCATTGCACCGGGCACCAATCCGCCATGTGTGTTTGATGCTACTAATAAAGTATTTTGTATCTACTTTGGTAATTAAAGATTTCATTTATTTACGAAAGCATTTGATTCAGGTCGTTGAGTTGGGGAAGCCCCCCAAACGCCTGTTGTTTTTGTGAGGCGATAAAAATCGCGTCTGAAAAACGTAGAAACCGTTCCTAAGGAATGGGCTCGTGCACATCCCTTACCAAAATGGCGGAAGATGTCCGAAAAACTGCATTCTTGCCTAGAAAGCTACTAATTACACCGTTAAGTACTTTCTCCTAATACATATAAATTATAGTGCTTAGAAATTTAACTTCTTTATGTCTGTATTTTGGGCCATTCGCCTCTATACTGTATAAATTGTCTTGTCTTGTAAATGAGCGAGTGAATGTTGTTTTACGTCACATTAAGCAATATTCCATCAACACGGTGGAGTACACACGAAATGGGCTTCACACATTGTGCCCATGTGGGGTATCGAACCCGGGTCTTCGGGGTGACGACTGACCGCTATAAACACTGATTATTATTTTTTTCCTTTGACAGGAGAGACCAAACACCATGATCTGTTTCAGGAGGTCTGTGTCCAGTTAACAATGTTTTTATGTTTCAATTTTGCCCTCAATCAAATTTATATTCCCTCATTCCCTACCTTTGTTTACCCCTTCAGATGTCGGGCTAGAGAAGGTTCACAGAAACCTATACTTTCATCGAAGCGTCTCGGTGGATGGGGTCATCAGACCTGGCGGTTCTGACTTGGTGGAGATCCCACATGCCAAGAGTATCAATTGTTCGGTCCCGAGTCCATCTTCATCTTCACGTTGGTCCTAGTGTGTGTGTGTGTGTGTGTGTGTGTGTGTGTGTGTGTGTGTGTGTGTGTGTGTGTGTGTGTGTGTGTGTGAGTGTGTGTGTATGTGTGAGTGTGTATGTGTGTGTGAGTGTCTGTGAGTGTGTGTGTGTGTGTGTGTGTGTGTGTGTGTGTGTGTGTGGAGGGTCAAGTGCCCTGATCTGATGATGACCCTAACCATCCTGACTGTGCCAGGATCACCCAAACCCTCTTTGCTGCATTTTCTTTCTTAATCTGTTTACACTAATCCATCTGTATGGCGCAGGTCCATGCTGGATATCATGTTCAAAGGGGACAGAAAATTATCAACTAAGTCAATGGATTAGTGTGGATTCCATTATCATGTGTGTGAGGCGCTTGGTTAAGATTTGCATCCCAATAGCTGACACGCCGTCACGTAGAGCATACTGTTCAAATCGGCATTAAACCCAACTCACCTTCTTCCTACGGAGAATAATATAACCTCGTCAGGTATAATCTTAGCGAAAACTGCGGTGACGGAAAGGACAGAACTGCACGCACACATTACCTTATCTACATGTATCTGTACCATCTGCCATTTCCCTACCAACATGAAGGCGTTCACGGATATTGTCAAACCGTTCTTATTTACAAGTACGTCATTTATTTCACCAGGTTACTGGCTGCCTATTTCTTTCATGCCGTATTATCTTAGTAATATGTGTGTGTATCTTAGTAATATGTGTGTGTATCTTAGTAATATGTGTGTGTAATTACCATCAGGAGGAGTCACTTGAAAGATAAATAGTTGAAGGTGTTTTCTAGTTTAATTCAAGAGGCGTTGAAAATGACAGCAAGGTCAACTGGCCCAGTCGTCTAACACGCCGCAGGCCCAAGTGAGTGAGTGAGTGAGTTGGGTTTGAAGCCGCTTTTAACAGTATTCCAGTTATATCACGGTGTGTCAGCTTAATGTGGGAGGAATGCCCGAAGTGATGCAGGTCTGAGACGTTTACCACTTCGGTGAAAGCCACGAGCACGGGTATGGTGCTGACAAACCTAGACACGTAATCGGGGCGAACCGGGATTCGAACCCACAATCATAGGTTTCTGGGACGCAACTCTGCAAAGCGAATCGCGGCGCCTCAGACGACTGGGCCACCCGTGCCACCCGCACTCCCAAGACCTGGGTTCGAATCCCCACATGGGTACAATGTAAAATAGAAACGCCGGGATATAACTGGAATACTAGTACTGTTGAAAGCGGTGTTGACACTCACTCACTCACTCTAGATAAATACCGCAGCTTGACACACCCATGTTGATAAACAAAATACAAGCCCAATTTACTCGTCTGGTTCTCTTGTGTTTGAATCATTTTTCGTTTCTGGACATATGATGACGACAATTAAGTTTGTATTTTCTTGTTCTGTTTTCAGCTTTAGTAACGACCGTTGCCTTCTTTCAAACATCTCAAGGTGGTATGTGATCTTTATTCAATTATATGTTTTGCTTTTAACAACATCCAATTGCTTTTGATGGGTTCTATTATCAGTTCTGTTTGTTTGTTTGTTTGTTTGTTTGTTTAACGCCACACTCAGCAATATTCCAGCTATATAACGGCGGTCTGTAAATATTAGAGTCTGGACAAGACAATCCAGTGATTGACATCATGAGCATCGATCCACGCGATTGGGATACGATGACATGCATCAACCAATTCAACGAGCCCGACCACCCGATCCCGCTAGTGGCCCATGACGACAAGCATAGTCGCCTTTTCGGCAGGCATGGGTTGCCGAAGATGCTAACCCGGATCTTCGCGGGTCTTCCAAACGGTTCATCTCACTACTAAAAACACCTGTCGTCCATGCCTTGTATTTCGTCAGAACAGCTCCCCAGTACCCATGATGTTGAGGATTTGATGGTTTCAATGTGTGACCAGGCAGCTGCAGATATTTATTAAGTCATCCTGCAACGATAGCGTAGATTGTTGTTCGCGATCACCTGCTCACCACTGAATGAACCCATGCTTGCCGTAAAAGGGAATATGCTTGCCGTAAAAGGCGACTATGCTTGTCGTAAAAGGCGACTATGCTTGTCGTAAAAGGCGACTAACGGGATCGGGTGGTCAGGCTCGCTGACTTGGTTGACGCATGTCATTGATCCCAACTGCGTTGGTCGATGCTCATGATATTAATCACTGGATTGTCTTGCACAGACTCGATTATATACAGGCCGCCGTCATATAGCTGGAATATTGCTGAGTGCGGCGTAAAACAACAAACCGACCAACCAACCACCACTGAATGATAGAGATTGACAAACACATGATTGTAATGTACTCGGAATCGAACAACGGAAATTCCTTATGATTATATCAATGATACTGTCTCTTTTTATTATCATCCACCTTTGCTTTGTCAGGCCTAAATTCTATTAATCTCAGGCCGCCAAACACCCGATTTAAACTGCCGGGCAAAAGAAAGCATACACCCATGTTTAATGGTTGCTGAAAATCAAACAAACAAATAGTTATTCGATGGTGAAGTATCATAGTTGTGTTTTGGACCTTAAGTTTGTGGTTCCGGCGACGCATGAAAAGTTAATGTTTTGGTCAAAATCTATTTTTCAAGTGTACACTTTCTTTTACCCGGCAGGGTGTAGGTTATAATTTGTTGAAAGCAGAATACAACAATTTTCATTCGATCTTTGGATCTGACTGTATTGTAGAGCGTCCACCCGGAGAGCGGAAGGTTGGGGGTTTAATCCCCGGCCGCGTCAAACCAAAAGACGATAAAATATGGTACTTGTTGTTATGCTGCCTGGTGCACGACATTAAGGGACTAAAACAAGGACTGAATACTGTTTCTGAGTGGGTATTCATGTTAAACAGTGGCATGGTATCTCAGTGTTCTAGCACTATAAAATCGGCAATGGTTCGGACTGGTACACGCAGCCAAACACACACACACACACACACACACACACACACACACACACACACCTGCATGCACGTCGCCTCGCCTCGCCTCGCCTCACCTCAGACTATATTGTGATGTTACAGCTGGGTCATGTGCTCCTGTATACAACTGCCCCTGTCCGGTAGTGGTCAACGGATGCCACGCCTGCCCATGTCAGACACAAGGTAAGAGGTCGTCCATTGGGACAGAACGTGAGCTGGGGGGTTGACAGAAACAGAATATGCCTATATTTCCCTCTGAAAGGAGTGAGTGAGTGAGTATGGTTTTACGCTGCTTTTGGCAATATTCCAGCAATATCACGGCGGGGGACACCAGAAATAGGCTTCACACATTGTACCTATGTGGGGAATCGAACCCGGGGCGTGGCGTGTTTTAATGTACAATGAAACTTTGAAAACGCATAACCAACTTTAACTCGAATTCAGCAAAGATGTGTTTTGGTGCTGAACATCGAATTAGATTAGAACCCGTATGACGACTTGTTGTGATTGATTTTATCACGCTCAAATACACATTAGCTTATTTTGCTTTATGTGGTCATTTTGCTTAATATTACAAAAACTCAAAACTGTGTATGGGCCCAAGTTGGACGATTCCATTCAGACAAGCGGGAGCATGTCTTGGTTCAGTGCATTATTGTTTGAAGTGAATCGTGAGCTCGTGCTATTTAAGAATGGAGGTTCATATTGCGCATGCATCGAAGTTTCGTTGCTGAGCGAATTTATACATAATTCGTGACTGTTCCATGCGTGGTCTAGAAATGATTCCTATAATTACATAATCGACTCTTATCTGATATATTTACCCTTTATATCAGGTTTATCTGATATATTTATCCTATTTACCAGGTTTATCTGATATATTTACCCAATTTATTAGGTTTATCTGATAAATTTATTATCTACCCTATTTATCAGGTTTATCTGATATATTTACCTATCTACCAGGTTTATCTGATATATTTACCCTATTGATTAGGTTTATCTGATAGATATATTATTTACCCTATTTATCAGGTTTAGTGCAAGACATTTATTTTGTAATTAGAAGTATAGCCATGTAGGTAGGCGCCCCACTCAGCAGTGATATGGATTCAAGGCCTGAGGTTTGAGCCTCGGGCGTTGAAATCTGTAACACTCTTGAGGGAGTCGATAACTTAATACGATACTCAACACGTGACACTTAATCATTGACCAGCAAACTGAAGCACAAACGCAATAGAGTGAGTGAGTGAGTGAGTGAGTTTGATTCCGGCAATATCACGGCGGGGGACACCAGAAATGGGCTTCACACATTGTACCCATGGGTCTTCGGCGTGACGAGCGAACGCTTTAACCACTAGGCTACCCGACCGCCCTCAAACGCGATAGAAAATTTCTCATTCTTGATCTGACAAAAATAACTTCCTTCCTGCCATAACATATACACAGCCTTCTTGACCAAGATTGTTGATAACGTCTATTTGATTAAAACGTCATCCCAAAGTAGGACAGTGGGGTAGCCTACTGGTTAAAGCATTCGCAAGTTGCGCCAAAGACACGGGTTTAATTCCCCACACGAGTACAATGTGTGAAACCTATTTCTGGTATCCACCAGCCGTGATTTTGCTAGAATATTGCTAAAACAGGCGTTATGTCATACTCACTCACTCACTCATCATCAATAAAAGCGACAAACCCCATTCCATAGTCATAAGGACCCATGAAGATCCGGGGTAGAATAGGTATTCAGCAATCCAGGCTTGTCGTTATAGGCGGCTATGCTTGTCGTAAGAGGCGACTAACGGGATCGGGTGGTCAGGCTCGCAGACTTGGTTAATGCATGTCATCGATCCCAATTGCGTGGATCGATGCTCATGATATTAATCACAGGATTGTCTGGCCCAGACTCGATTATTTACAGACCGCCGTCGTATAGCTGGAATATTGTTGAATGCGGCGTTAAACAAAGCAAACAAACATGATTTGAAGCACGACCAATGGATCGGATTTAAGATAAGGGACGCAACTCAGTACTGCAGTGCCTTAGACCATCGACCTTTGGGGGGAAATATGAGATTTGAGTCGATGAAGCAGGGCATCCCTCTCCTTTTCGCGAACGACCCGTGAAGATTCCGAGTGCGGCGTTAAACAACCAACCAACAACCAACCATCGTCATAAGACATCTCTACCAAAAACAGACACGCTTATACGATTTCGACTATAGAATGAGCACATGTTTATGAATCACTATCAAATAGTGATGATACCAGGTGTTCGCGAAAAGGAAAGCGTATCCTATCCCACTGGTAGCACTCGTAACAAACACATGCAAAGGCAATTCAGTTCACCTGAAAATACACGGGAACATATGATAAAGTCAAAATGGGGAATTGCATAGGACATCATTTATGTCAATGATGCGTCAAATTTAGAAATGTCCTCCACATGTCTACCATAAAACGTTTTGAAAGCTCTACTGAGACCTTGAATGTTGTAACATTGATCAAGAGTCGCATTACGCTTTTTGAAATCTTGGTAGAAAGAGCTTGCATGATTGTACCTCAAAAGTTGTGACATGTAGACACTCATCATTAAGCCCATATAAAGTTATGATTCGCTTATCAGCATTGTTATCAACCACGGCGATTTCACTGATAACTCTAAGGTCCGGATTAGCGGGGTTCGTTTCATGTTGTAATGCAACATCTCGATGCGGGTACTGATTTGTGTCCTCCAGGCTCCTCAGCGTCATCGCATCACGGAAAGCACTGCCCTTATGTGGACTTCATCAAGTGCCCCGAGGGCTGCCTGGTGGCTGATAACATCACGAACTGTGTGAAGTGTAACTGCAAAGGTAGGTGACCTCAAATAAGATTGGATCAATAGTCAGCTGTGTTGTAAAATCTCATCGTCCCGAGGCAAGAGTGTCCACGAGCCTTTTTATCAGAGTCTTGTTTTCCACCCTTGCCACATCAAGTCCACTGTCCTGTGGATATGGTTGCACTTTGTTGACACGTCTTTTTCATCTTTTAAACACCTTTGTTCCTTTCTATTTGTTTACCTTAACCAGTCTTTTCCACGCTCATAATGAGTGAGTGAGTTCATATGGTTTTACGCCGCTTTTAGCAATATTCCAGCAATATCACGGCGGGGGACACCAGAAATGGGCTTCACACATTGTACCCATGTCGGGAATCGAACCCGGGTCTTCGGCGTGACGAGCGAATGCTTTAACCACTAGGCTACCCGACCGCCTCCGCTCATAATGAAATGATTCAGGTGTATTATGTTAATTTGTTCCAAGCTGTCCCAACCACTCCCTTATCAACTGTTTAAAGTGTTCTTTGTATATTTTGTTCCTCAAACAGCTGGAATCTTGTCCATACCCCCAATCTCCTGATTCAAATGTCCAGCCTTAATTTTTTACCTTGACGAGCCCCGTCATCGTCCCAAATTTAACAGCTTAACATGTCTCTTTTTAATTATTAATCTCGACCAGTGTCACCCACGCCCTTAACTGCTTCGCGAAGACCTGGTGTCATCTTTATTTGATAGTGATTAATAAACACATGCCCATGATATAGTCTATGCTATGCTATGCTTTTTGCAGACATGAAAAGGGGTTTGTCGCTATTATTCAAATGTGTTTTTTACTGATTTCCTCGACCAGTCTCAGCCACGCCCCTAATCAACTGCTTCAATTGCCAAAAGGTGTCGCATCCATCTGCGTGTGCGACAATTCAACAGTGTGGACAACATGAGGTGAGACACCCGTTGTGCCCCGAGGTACTTCACAACGCTTTCACAAACCTTAACACACATGGTGTTGGGGATGATCTCAAGCCACAGTCAATAGTGCAGCTCGATTACGAAATCGAATCAGGACAAGTGCTTGACGTACGATCCAAGATAACCTAAGTAAGCCATGCTACACACAGGGACCGACCAATCCCTGTTCTAGCCTGCAAGCTCTCACATTCTGCTCTTTGTGATGGGTATATTAGGGAACGATGGGAACGATTCTGCTATGGAATACCCACGTGGTTCTTACAACTATCGCATATATATAATGTATAATGTTATATACGTATTATATATCTTGAAATTATCTCTAGACGATTAACTATTATATGATGCCACTTTTTTTAACGTTTAAGGCATTGGCATTGACAGGGAATGTTGCAACGCGCAAATCCGTTCTAAAAGATGGTTCTCACGCCGCATTTAGCAATATTCCAGCAATATCACGGCGGGGGACACCACAAATAGTCTTCACACATTGTACCCATGTCGGGATTCGAACCCGGGTCTTCAGCGTGACGAGCAAACGCTTTAACCAATAGGCTACCCGACCGCCCCCGTTCTGAAAGAAGATGGCCTGATAACCAGAGTGGCATTATAGCCAGGGAGAGCTGTACATGTGCATGATGTTACAGCATAAAAATGTTTGCAGAAATTTCGTTGGAAACAAACAAAACATTTACATGTTTAATTGTGTGATTAGCGGGTGCTGACGGTAGAGTAGGACATGCCTATCCCTTTGTGCGAACACCTGGTGTCACCAGTGATTTTCAGTGATCCATTCATATAAGTTTCATCCCTGTTTTGCCTTCCACGCCAAGTGGAATCTGTTTCAGCAGAATATCGAGACTGATTATTATTTGGCTTTGACGTCCATGAGTATAAGTCCTTCTTACACTAGACCGCCTCCGTGGTCTAGTGGTAGAGCGTCCGCCCGGAGAGCGGAAGGTCCGGCGTCATACCAAAAGACGTTAAAAGATGGTACTTGTTGTTACCCTGTCTGGCGCTCGGCATAAAAGGGCTAAAACAAGGACTGGTCGGCTCGGAGTCAGTATACTGTGTCTGAGTGGGGTATTCATGTTAAACTGCGGCATGGTATCTCAGTGTGCCAGCACTATAAATCGGCATCAGTCCGGACTAATACAAACAGCCACACACACACGTGCATGCACGTCGCTATATAAGTGCAATAATCTTGGACGCGACGTTAAACCCAATTTCACCTCACCTCACCTTCTTACACTGGCTACCTGTTGTAGAGGTTGCGTCGCATTGTTTGTTTTTAACGCCACACTCAGCAATATTCAAGCTGTATGATGGAGGTCTGTAAATATTCGAGTCTGAACCACACAATGCAGTGACTGACATCATAAGAATCAATCTACGCATTTAGGATACGATGACATGCATCAACGAAGTCAGCGAGCCTGACGACCCGGTCCCTTCAGTCGCCTCTTACTAAAGGGATTGGTTGCTTAAGATCGATACTAACCCGGATGTTCACAGTATCACATACGAAGAATATGTCTGGTCTGGTACTGCCGTCATATAGCTGGAATACTGCTCAGTGTGGCGTTAAACAACAAACAAACAAACAATCTAAGAACGTGTTTACGGAATATATTTCGATATTTGACAGACATCTATATTTCTAATCCATGATTGAATGTGTATTACTATCAATAAACATGCACATTTGCTCTTTCAGCTGTGCCATGCACAGACTGCACACAACAACGCCGGGACATCCTACAAGTTGTCCTGTATGCCAAGGACGGTCAGTGTAAACATTATAATAAAACAGGCCCGTGAAGATCCGGGGTAGAATAGGTCTTCAGCAACCTATGCTTGTCGTAAAAGGCCACCAAAGGGACCGGGTGGTCAGGCTGGCTGACTTGGTTGATGCATGTCATCGTATCCCAATTGCGTGGCTCGATGCTCATGATATCAATCACTGGATTGTCCGGTCCAGACTCGATTATTTACAGACCGCCGTCATATAGCTGGAATATGCGGCGCTTAACAACAAACAAACAAAACAAACAAATGTATTCAAAGGCAAAAGTAACGGTGGTGACTGTGTTTTGATTGTCACATTGTGATCTTTTAGTTGCACAAAGTTCTCAAATTCCCTTTCTGTCTTTTTATATTTACTTTTTTTATAATGTACTAGTGTTTGCCTTGACCGGCGATTAATATTTTAGGAAACAAAATATAATTCTTCCTTGCATATTTTGGTATTTATGTTATAATAATTCCTAATGCCAAAATTATAAAGGTTAAGTCAATTTAATGTGTTATGTTCCTTTTTAACCCCACCCGCATCAAGCCATTCCGGTTTGGTTTCCGTGGTATCCGGCATTGGACACCTCACCGGAAAGCATGCCTCCTGGAATCCGGGTATCCGGCACACCGGATACCTCACCGGATACCTCAATCAGGGTGTCAAAGGATCCGGTTTTTATAGAAAACAGTTTTATTTGAATCATGAAAATACAAGTTGGGGACAAGTGATACTTGTACAAATATTTGCCCCCCCCCCCTTTAAAAAAAAAGTTAACTACGGCCTTGATGTCTCTACAGACATGCGAGCACCTGTCTTCATCTATCATTATTGGAAGACGAGCCGTAACGTGTGACCAGTGCTGCACAACAGACCTTTGTAACCAAAAGCTTTGTAAATAAAGTGTGAATGACAAACAAATCTCTGCTTCACGTGTTGGTTAGAGTCAATGTTAATAATCCCCTCCGTGGTGTAGTAGATAGAGCATCTACCCGGCGACCGAAAGTGGGGTGATTCGATCCCCTTGCCGCGCCATACCACAAATAAAAGATTCGCCATTACATATTTAAATTCTGACGAGCGTTTTCTTTTTGTGTTGTTTGCACAATTATTAGTGGGAAAGTGCTGTTAGAAGTGAAGGGGAGATTGAAAGCGAAGGATATGGTGTGGCATTGTGTGGCAGGCGCTTCCGGTAAGGCAGAACATGCTCACCCTTTCCGCAGACACCTTGTGTCATCACTGATTGTCAGTGATCCATTCATATGATTTTGACCGTTATTTTGCCTTTTACTAACAACAGAATCTGTATTGGCGGATAATCGAGACTGGTTATTCTCTGGCGTTGTTGCTTTATATTTACACCAAATTCATCAACAAGACTTCAGCAACCCATGCTTGTCGTAAAAGGCGACTAACGGGATCGGGTGGTCAGGCTCGCTGACTTGGTTGATGCATGTCATCGATCCCAACTGCGTGGATCGATGCTCATGATGTCAATCACTGGATTGTCTGGTCCAGACTTGATTATTTACAGACTACCGTCATATCACTGGAATATTGCTGAGTGCGGCGTTAAACAACAAACCAACCAAATCATCAACAAGATACCGTCTACAGTGAATTCCGTGGCCTTAGATGACCGGCCCATCCGTGAACTGACAAGATGATTTTTTAACATCAATGAATAATCGGTTAAATGTTGCTCACTACCAGAAAAGAAAAGCACGACCTGTCTATTGACCTGATGAATATGCATGAAAGACATTGTGCCATGATACAATATGTCTTCCAGGGTTGAAGGGTAAAGATTGGCACCTGGTTGGTTGGTTGGTTGATTTGTTGTTTAACGCCGCACTCAGCAATATTCCAGCTATATGACGGCGGTCTGTAAATAATCGAGTCTGGACCAGACAATCCAGTGATTGACATCATGAGCATCTATCCGCGCAATTGAGATCGATGACATGCATCAACCAAGTCAGCGAGCCTGACCACCCGATCCCGTTAGTCGCCTTTTACGACAAGCATAGTCACCTTTTACGGCAAGCATGGGTTGCTGAGGACCTATTCTACCCCGGGATCTTCACGGGTCCGATTGGCACCTGGGATACATGTATTATTATTGCAGTAACGTGTTCCCCTTTCACAGCAAACAACATTTAGGTGGTTAAACATGGTTTTATCTTCAGTGCCCATATTAGCTCTTTTGTAGCTGTGTGAATGGACACTCAAACAATACTGTGACACCCTAGTCTCTCATTGCTTATGTAACCCGGGAAGACCCGCATGTCAGAAGAGGCGACTAACGGGATCGGGTGGTCAGGCTCGCTGACTCGGTTGATGCATGTCATCGAATCCCAATTGCATGGATCGATGCTCATGACATCAATCACTGGATTGTCTGGTCCATACTGGATTATTTACAGGTCCCCTTCACATAGCATGAATATTGCTGAGTCCGGCGTTAAACAGCAAACAAACAAACAAATAAAAGCGAGGAGGATGATAATAATGATAAACAATGAAAGTGATTAAGAACGATGAATCGTAAAATAAAATAATAGAAAAATGATTTCACCAATTATTTCATAACAGGGAATATGCTCCGACATAGGGGACCCGTGAAGATCCGGGGTAGAATAGGTCTTCAGCAACCTATGCTTGCCGTAAAAAGCGACCGTGCTTGTTGTAAGAGGCGACTAACGAGATCGGGTGGTCAGGCTCGCTGACTTGGTTGGTATAAACTTGGATATTCCATCCGCACCACGCATTTCTCAATGGACTCGTCCATAACACGAGTTACGACTGCAAATTTGAGACTCTGCTGTCGTGCCAGTTACTGAGAGAAAAAAGAAGGATTTTATGTCCGCTTCGTGAAATCTTACTCCACAGTGAATTGTTTGTTTGCTTGTTTGTTTGTTGTTTAACGCCGCACTCAGCAATATTCCAGCTATATGACGGCGGTCTGTAAATAATGTGCGCGTGAACCAGACAATCAAGTGATTGACATGCGCCTGGATCCACGCAATCGGGATACGATGACATGCATCAACCAAGTCAGCGAGTCTGACCACCCGATCCCGTTAGTCGCCTCTTATGACAAGAATATTCGCCCTTTCCAGCAAGCACGGGTTGCTGAAAGTCTATTCTACCCCGGTTCTTCACGGGTTGCGTGCAGCTGGCTGATGTTTGTATATGATTCGAAATAATTATTTAATTTTTATTACTCTCCCGCGTTGAAGATAATGAAGTTTAACTACGTTAAACTGGCATTAGAGTGTTTAATACCAAAGTGCTTATGTACTGCGGGAACGAAAGTCACAAACAAATAATGAAAACAGTCAGCAAACATGGGCTTATTGATTAATGAAGAGATCACCGAGAGGAGCTTATGCACATATGAAAGCTGCTGGCCGAACGACTGATTCTGATTTGGTGTGGTTGTTGTTGACATCCTGGAGGCTGGCGCCAGTACTCTCAGAGTTGCAAAGTAGTTCTTTCTGAAACCAGTTCAGACTTCTCTCTCTCTCTCTCTCTATCTATCTATCTATCTATCTATCTATCTATCTCTGTCTCCCCCTCTCTCTCTCTCTCTCTCTCCCTCTCTCTTATTACTCGACAACAACCATCGGTGGTACATGAGTTGTACAACAACAAAAACTACAGTAATAGATGTACAGCTTGATGACATATATTGTAGCATACGTCACAGTATAGCATTCAAATGTCTGAGGACCTTTGAGAGTTTTTTGTAAAGTACCTACTTTATCAGTTGTGAACAGTTTACGATATCTACTTATGTTTAGCCAGTGTGTGTAGTATTCATTAATTCATTCAGTGCGCCAGGTTAAAGAAGAATTACAGTTGAATACAGAATGGAACTCGTCACCCATTACTTGGCAGTCACACAATGTTCATATCTTTTGTTCTCGTGATATAATTCCCATCGACCTGTTTCTATTGGTAGTTTGTGCTTACCAGTTTCAGAAACAGTAAAAGTTTAGAAATATGATCAGTGAAAAGTAAATAGTATATATCATTCTGTTCCAAAAGACAACACTAATTATTGGAAAAACTTGGACACTTTTAATTTACTCAATAGATGTACATTTGACAAAATCGTCAATTCTCACACAAGATCATGATAATCCAAACACAGCTGCCAGATCTCTCAATCCACATTTCATCTTACTCTATGAAAGCTGCTGGCCGAACGACTGATTCTGATTTGGTGTGGTTGTTGTTGACATCCTGTAGGCTGGCGCCAGCACTCTCAGAGTTGCAAAGTAGTTCTTTCTGTAACCAGTTCAGACTTCAGATAAAATAATATCCATTGACTTCAATGTAAGTAGTGAATATATTGTCAACAAGAAGTAAAAAAAAATACCCAAGCATCTTGCAAGTGTTAATGGAAGTGATTTGGAGTTGTTAGGTAACAAAGGCTTACCTTTCTTATAAATTGGCTTAATTACACCCCATTTAACCAACCATTCTTCTGGTGTCTTACCAGTATGAAATATTATTTTGAAGAATTTAAGCTAAACAGTCATCTTTTCGCCTTATAATGCCGACGTGCCGTCCAATTTTAACTCATTCGCTTTCAGGCTGACACAAGCCGACTTGGCGAGGTTCCTAGCTGTCGGACGGGCGCTCGTCTGACTGATTGGACCCAAGCCGGGTCGGGTGGTCCCTCGCCGGCGTGTCCCCTTGCCGGCGTTTCCCTCGCCGGCGTTACCCTCTCCGGCGTTACCCTCGCTGGCTGCTCCCTGGCGAAAATCCGTCTTTGTCCGGCGCAGGCGCACTCGTGGATTTTGGTGTTACGCGAAAAGCAAATGTTTTCCCAGGGACCTTTTATATTTTTATTTTTATTTTATTCTCTCTCTCTCTCTCTCTCTCTCTCTCTCTCTCTCTCTCTCTCTCTCTCTCTCTCTCTCTCTCTCTCTCTCTCTCTCTCTCTCTCTCTCTCTCTCTCTCTCTCTCTCTTATTACTCGACCACAACCATCGGTGGTACATGAGTTGTACAACAACAAAAACTACAGTAATAGATGTACAGCTTGATGACATATATTGTAGCATACGTCACAGTATAGCATTCAAATGTCTGAGGACCTTTGAGAGATTTTTGTAAAGTACCTACTTTGGCAGTTGTGAACAGTTTACGATATCTACTTATGTTTAGCCAGTGTGTGTAGTATTCATTAACTCATTCAGTGCGCCAGGTTAAAGAAGAATTACAGTTGAATACAGCATGGAACTCGTCACCCATTACTTGGCAGTCACACAATGTTCATATCTTTTGTTCTCGTGATATAATTCCCATCGACCTGTTTCTATTGGTAGTTTGTGCTTACCAGTTTCAGAAACAGTAAAAGTTTAGAAATATGATCAGTGAAAAGTAAATAGTATATATCATTCTGTTCCAAAAGACAACACTAACTATTGGAAAAACTTGGACACTTTTAATTTACTCAATAGATGTACATTTGACAAAATCGTCAATTCTCACACAAGATCATCCAAACACAGCTGCCAGATCTCTCAATCCACATTTCATCTTACTCTATGAAAGCTGCTGGCCGAACGACTGATTCTGATTTGGTGTGGTTGTTGTTGACATCCTGTAGGCTGGCGCCAGCACTCTCAGAGTTGCAAAGTAGTTCTTTCTGAAACCAGTTCAGACTTCAGATAAAATAATATCCATTTACTTCAATGTAAGTAGTGAATATATTGTCAACAAGAAGTAAAAAAAAAATACCCAAGCATCTTGCAAGTGTTAATGGAAGTGATTTGGAGTTGTTTGGTAACAAAGGCTTACCTTTCTTATAAATTGGCTTAATTACACCCCATTTAACCAACCATTCTTCTGGTGTCTTACCAGTATGAAATATTATTTTGAAGAATTTAAGCTAAACAGTCATCT